GACATGCCATTCCTGTACAGGCGAATGCTGCACGCGCGGTGCGACACTGAATGCGTAGTGGTACAAGATCACATGGAGAACCGCAATGAAGATCTTAAGAAGCTCCCTAAAATGACCAGCACGTGCAGCTGAGAGCGGCGGAGGCGGTCTCACTGCCTGGTGTGGAGCGCGGCCAGCAGGGCGGCCGGCAGCAGCAGCAGCAGCAGCGCCGGCGTCGACAGGCCGGCAGAGTTGCAGTAGTCGGTGGTGCAGTAGCAGCTGGTTTCGCCGTCCACACCGGTCGTACAGTTCGTGCCGACGTGGTTGTAGCATCCGCGACTGACCACCACGCCGCCGATCACCGTCTTGAAGCAGCTCTTGTCGAACGTCTGCGGACAGTCCTTCTTGAAGGTGCTGTTGCTCGAGTCGAACTTGGAGCATATGGGCTCCGATGACCAGACATAGCCCCCCTTGGGCAGAGGGACCGAGCCGCCGGCTTGCAGACCTTGCGTGGGCTCGGAGCACTGGAAACAGCTGAGACCGCGCACGGCGGGAGGCAGCGCCAGCAGGGCGGCCAGGGCCAGCAGCGGCACCAGCGGACGGCGACTCATGGCGGCGGAGCGGAGCGGGTGTCCGAGAACCTCGAGAGACCAGAGAGCTGTGTGCGAGGCGCGACGAGGACGGCGAAAGAATGAGCGGCACCCTCCGTCCGGCTAGGCTCGAAAGCTCCGCGCAAACTAAAACCAAATAGGCCTATCGCTCAAACAGCGCGCCCGCTGTTTTTTGGACGTTGAGGTACAATGACCGCCTTATAAAACGCCATGTCAGCCGCACAGGGCGAGCTTTACCGGCGGAGCGGGACTTTGCGAAACAAACACCAGAACAGGCGGCTGTGGCTTAGCAAAGCTACAAAGAATAGTCCAAGCCTGGCGTATCTGACCAAAGTGACCCAAAAATGGAGCAGAGAGATAGAAATTACATCCGCACAAATACACAAACGGCAGATATTTCCGATAAGAAACTTGTCCAAGCATTTCCGTCGATGACGATAACCCGTAGAACAGCGACAACAGAGGCTGTATCTAACTTGGAGATGTTCTGACACTTAAAATTACCAATTGCCCACTGTGCGTTTCCCAATGGGTGGGGTCTGGATGAGCTCTAGACTAGGCTAGAGATGCGTGTGATCTAGCTTTGATCTAAATCAAATCATCTGAAGATGAGCAAAAGTAAACCGACATTTACAATCGTCACCAATAATCGTAATTTTTAACTTAGATTTAATATTTTAAAATCAATAACTATTCTATCCATCTAGCTTTACAATCGAAATATTGCGTCACATCCGTACGCCGACCCGCCAATCGGTTTGTTTTTCAACGGGAAAACACGAGTAACACTCCGTTTTATAATGCAACACCGATAATAATTTATGCTTGTAAGTGAGTAAATTGTGTTCTAAGCTGTCGATTGGCGCGGAGTGCATGGGGTAGGTACTTATTTCATTTTTAGTGAGCTTGGGGTATAATTTTGTCTCAAATCTCAGAGTCTGTTTAAATAAAATATGGAAGCAAAATACATATTACGTACCTTTTTGTAATCCCATAAAATGTGCAACAAAAGAAACAATTTATACGTGGAATTTAGATAAGGACCTGTGCAAAAAATACCATCCGCACCCTGTGCTGAATGTGCATGTTTCACGTATTTAATTTGTATGTTAGAATTTGTTGGAGGGTCCAGAACCCAGATAAATCAAATGCAAAAAAGCAAAAATCAACCGGTAACTAACGGTGTAAACACAAAACCGAGGCTGAAACGTTTCCCGCGTCGGCCGATCACCGCATCAGCCGGCGATATCTTACTCTTAGCAGGCTTCTAAATGCCATATTTATGGTTAAGTTAACCCGGCAGTTGCTGGGGTATTTCGCCACCCACCGTTTGCTGGGGGGGGGGGGGGGGGCGTTAAACGCCCCCAGCCGATAACTCGAGAACCAATAGGCGCAGCGAAACGCACGAGGCGGCAAACGAAAGAACGCGACGAGACGCTTCAGATGAGTACTTTAAAGTTGAATTTTGAGGTCACAGGTCGGGTCAAGGTCAGGTCAAACACCTGAAATCGGGCTTTCAGTAGCATGGACTTCAGGACTTCGAAATGGGCGCCTCTCGTCATAAACTCTGTCAAAACGGTGCACAATCCATCATATAAGGCCTACAAGAGTGTCAGCTCCATGTAGGGGTCAGTCAAGCATAGGTCCGGGTCAAGGTCAGGTCAACCGGGTAGGCACATATCCCCGAAAATCAAAACTGATATTCGCAGCCTGTGACACATGTTTTATGGGTAATTTGGGGCGTAGAGCACGATGGTGACATTCATTTTATCATATGTGTACGTGTTTGGCTCAAAAAGTTAAATTTAAGAAATGCATGTATCATGGTCGTGAAGAAGTCCCGAGAAATTGCCGAGATTCAGTTCAATATTTTGGAAAATGCGGAACGATAATCAATAATCGAAGATAGCCATTTGATTGCTCATGGTATTGGCAGTCTAATGGCGTTTACGGCATGTCTGTATGTCTATTCTGTGATTTTATATGATTTTTTGAACATATGCCGTTGTTGGTCGAAAACTCAGAAATCATGACGTCACTAAAACCTCGATATCTCAAAAATTTTCCGATCGATTTTTTTGAAACTTTGTCACAATAAACGTCAATCAATTCCCTACAGGTACCCAAAATTTGGCGCGCCTGCGGCGCGCCGTTTTTATGCTATAGCCCGGCGAAAAAAGTGGGGGCGTTTAACGCCCCCCCCCCAGCAACTCGCGGGTTAAAGGGAGATAATGAGCTTTCTTTTTTCTTAAATAAAAATTACTCGACATCTATACTATTTCTACTGTAGTTTCTATAAAATATGAAAATTTCCTAGCACATTTTCGTATGTGAAAAAGGTTTTTATTTTTGCAAAAAAGAAGCAGTACTTGCAGTACTTGTAACACCCACCGAAATGCGTTGTCCTTCTCTATAAAAAAGTCGCAGTATATGGCGCTTTTGTTTCAAACAGCGACGCTTGGGTTTTTGTTTATGTTATCGCCTTGTCGTTGCTTGGTTGTAAGGATTCTAATTTGAATTAGAGTTAATTCGGTTTAGAATTAATTAGATTCTAATTCGGGGGTACATAGTGCCTACTATTCTTTGTTTCCAAGCATTATTTTGCGCCACAAATGAACGGCATGCGCCAGAAACGCAGCCAAATCTTGCGATTGCGACTACGAAATTCATTATTTTGGCCTCAGAGCCTGAAGCGAAAAATACAAGCATATTTATTTCAAAAAGACTTCAGGTTTGTCGAACGGTGTTATGAGAATTTTGATAACAGTACTGCATAAGTTTTTCAGTGATGCCGCAAAAGTGTTGTATCTATCTTCTTTTATTGTGCAGTCGGCGGGACCGATTCAAAATTGAGTCGTTGCTACTAAAATAGCAGCATATGGCGTCAGATGATGAACAGGAAAAATAGTTGCGTAAATTTAGACATAAACCACCGCCAAACCATGAATATCTTTTGAAGGCGCTATAGACGACCATTAACTAACTAGATGTGATGAAGATCAAATGTAAGGAATACGCTCATTTTACAAAATTACATGCAAGTACCAAAAAGTGATGTAAGTACTTATTCAACGGTCATTTTCAGCGCTCCCCGCTAACGTGACTTCAAGTTGAGATATTTGCGGCAAGGTACCGAATTGAGCAAAATGGTTTTAATTTACATTATAACTTGTTGTGTTTTGTCAGAAAATGGTCCTAACTCAGATTTTGTGGAAAAAGGTCATTATCTCCCTTTAACTAGGGATTCACAACATTTACTCGAAAACGTACCGTCTGTCGTATAGTGAAAGAAATAATAACAAAATCGGACGGTAACTTTTTGAGTCATGGGCGTGAAAACACAAAATCGCCCCTAATATGGCAAATTTGACCACGCTTGACCTCATTTGACCTTGAAGATATTGACCTAGAATGTGATGAAATTACCACATCGGAGTTCCCCATCGCTCCCACCACCCCCTCCAAATTTCGTCTTTCTACCTATAGGTACCTAGCTATATGTACAGCCCTCTGCAGACTGCGTGGTAGGTATTCTTTTTTCGACAAAACCGATAATAACTCAAAGGCCAAGTTATCGGTCGGTCGGATCTCATTGCATAAAGATGCGCCATGCTCCACTCCTTCGATTGGTTCTATCACTGTACGAAGTACACAGCTACATAGTGTAGCAGCAAAATGCAAAAGTTTGTTTTGGGGGCAGATATAAATTTTTGTGTGTTGTTGCCAAACTAGCCGGAAAATGTATACCAAAATCAGCCCAATCTAAGGTGCGGAGTCTCACGCGTCTTGCTGTTACGATTTCCGAATGACCGTTACCATAGTATTCGCGTTATTCTCGGTTTTGTCGAAAAAAAGAATGCCTACCACGCAGTTTGCAGAGGGCTGTACCTATAGGTAGCTTCTATAGGAGCTGAGATCTCCCCCTTTCACTGGGCGTGGTTCTCGGAACCCTCCCACTGCGCGTATTAAGCTCTAGTCAGAACTTTTTTTCTACCGCATGGATGCCTAGAATTAACCCACCAATCCACCAACAGGTACCTACTCCGTGCCTTCAAGGTCGCAGTCCTGAGAGTGACTGCTTTGACCACAGCTGGGCATACTATGTCCTTTTTTGACAGATCATTTTTCTGTTTTTTTTTTTATGTAACCGCATGCTACCAATGAACTTTTCCGGAACTGACCCTGGGCGCCCTCATGTCCCCTATTGTGATGCGTCGAAAGAGCGTATGAAAGCAAATGATGTTGGAAGTGGCTGTTTTGTACATATGTAACCGATAAGCGCATAAGTACAGCGAAAGACCGAAAGACGCATGTCCCCTAGCCCTACTCTATCCGATCCCGTTGTAGATCGTCATTATTTCTCTTTCGTCAATGTCCCACTAAGGCACAACAATTCCATCACACTAAATATCTTCGGGAATGTTTTATTTTCTCCAACACATCGCAGATGAAAAACGTGTCTTTTTAAAAATAACACCTATCTAGCATTGTTTTCCAGAATGATTAGTATTATAAAAAACATTAGCTAATACAGCGCACTTCATCACTCAGCATGTCTCCTGCATCAGAACACACAAAACCTCCATCGCACAGACAGCATGTGAGGAATCCCGTGATCACAACTTTTCATAGACACAGATGCGGATACCTCCGCTCACTTTCCGGTATGTAGCAGCGACTTTCTGTTTGACACACGGTCGCTTTGATTCGAGTAACCGTTATAACAAGGCTCAAGACGGTCACAGCAAGGACAATCGATGACAATATCCACCAGCATGGCCTGTGACGAACCAACTGCGCGCAATCTTAAACGGTCATGACTGTTAACAGCGAAATATTCCGAAAACAGTCTCTCGCAGACCCAGACCGTTCAGATGTTGAACCTGAGCACCAGCAGCAGTAGCCTCACTGCCGGGTGTAGAGCGCGGCCAGCAGGGCGGCCGGCAGCAGCAGCAGCAGCGCCGGCGTCGACAGACCGGCAGAGTTGCAGTAGTCACCGGTGCAGATGCACTTTGTGAATGATTCACCGCTGGTACAGTTGTCGCGGATCACGTCATGACATCCGCGGATCATCCTCCCGTCCTGGTACTCCACCGCAATACAGGAGGCAGTAAAGTCCCCCACACACGGATCAATCTTGTAGCTGCTGTTGGTTTTGTCGAAGGTGGAACAGGGCAGCTTGGGGGCCGACCCTACCAACGACTGGTGTTCCGATTGCGAGTTTAAGTCGGAACAGGAGTAGCAGCTGATGCCCCGGACGGCGGGCGGCAGCGCCAGCAGGGCGGCCAAGGCCAGCAGCGGCACCAGCGGACGGCGGCTCATGGCGGCGGGAAGTCGGAGCGGTGCGCACCTCAGCGGAGACGGCGGACGAGTGAGGGCCGTTCGATCGCCCCAGACCGCCGCTCAGATAGCGCCTATCGGCCGTCGGTCAGGCAGTCGGAAACGTTCGATGGCCGTATCGTTATCCGGCCTCGTGAGCTGGCGTCCGTCACAGGCCTGAGCTCATCACCGGAACTAGCCGTCCCCTCTCGCCGCCCCGTCCTCATCGCAGAGTGTGTGTCGTGTCACCACCAAGTCATGATTTCGATCTTGCCACAGTCCGCTGTGCCGCTCGCCGACTCGGTCCGATCAGTCCGCGGATGGAGAGACCAGCCATGAATCTAGCTGGGAATATTTGCACGGGTCGTCGGCGGCCGGCGGACTTTGCCCCCCCCCCCCCCCCCGACTGGCCCCGCCAGCTATCTCGAACATGGGTGTACTATCTGCGTGTGGAACAGAGTGGCAGTCGGCCAGACCGATTCCTTTTCATAGTTTTCATAGTCTCGATTTCGGCCATCTGAGTCATCCGGTCCCGACCCTCACCTGAGCCGCTCGGGTCCCGACCTGGTCACCTGAGTCACCCATGACTCGACCTGGTCACCTGAGTCATCTAGGTCCCGGTCTCCCCAGTCCCGACCAGATCACCAAGACCTCGACCAGGTCACCGGAGTCCTACCGGGTCACCTACGCTGGCCCCGGCACGAAGCGTCGACCGCCCGTGGTCCGCCCGTCCCGCCACGAGATAGGTGCCACGGCTCGGCGTTATCGGGAGCGCTGATTACACGCACCGCTCGATCGGCCCCCACTCGTGCTCCGTCTCCGCTGAGGTGCGCACCGCTCCGCTCCTCCGCCATGAGCCGCCGTCCGCTGGTGCCGCTGCTGGCCCTGGCCGCCCTGCTGGCGCTGCCGCCCGCCGTGCGCGGCATCAGCTGCTACCAGTGCTCCGATCAACAGAACAACATCGGAGAGGAGGGTGCCGGCAGTATCTATTTGCCCAACTGCTCAGAGTTTGACGAGGACGACAACAAATACCAACAGAAGTCATGCGGAGTAGACAAGAGCTGCTCCAAGATCATCTTCAAAAATGGCCAGGTGGTACGCGGCTGCTACCCTTCAGAAAAGGCCGACGGGTGCAACAACGTCGACGGCCTTACGGAGTGCTTCTGCAGCACCGACTTCTGCAACTCTGCCGGCCTGTCGACGCCGGCGCTGCTGCTGCTGCTGCCGGCCGCCCTGCTGGCCGCGCTCTACACGGTGTAGGTGGCGGAAGGCCTCAGTGACTGCGGCTCGGGGCTCTGTCGGACTGCGGAGGCGGTGCAGTGGGTCGGGTGTGACGGTGTCTGGCTGTGCCCCGAGGGCGGCGCGGCGACCCCACGCTGCTCGGAACCGTGGTATGGCCGGCAAACGATGACCTTTAGGCCTGTGACGTCGCTAGGCGCAGAGACAGTGGAGGAGGGGAGAGGAAGGGAGGGCCAGGGAGGGAGGAAGTAGTTAGTCAATTGGCACCTGCGGTGATTGAAACGGACTGGTTGGTGTATATGTAACTATAAATTCAGGCATGGAGATTCATCCCGATCTTCTAAGAGTGTCAAATGTGTGCAGCTTTTGGTGAATGGAAGTGAGCATGGTTTTCATAATAATATATCGTACCTAACTACATTACATACCTTTGTCAAGCATGCCACAACTCGCTATTGTTTGCAGGAAATTACAAATGTTGAGCTGAGGCCTCTTGCACCAAACTACCTAGCTAGGTAAAATCGAAAAACCGGTTTCAGAATAAGCTAATCTAACGGTGGTAAATTTGTTTGCAAAAGCCCAATACATAATCCTCCTACATGTGCTTGCAAAATTTTGCATGCAAATTGTTACATTTGAGACTTGGACTGGGTATACGATGCAAAATAATCCAAGCATTGGTGCAAGAGGATTTTGGTGCAAGAGGCCTCTGGTTGGTACTTTGCATATGCTTGAACACGAAAGCGGTACGCAAATAGTGATTAAGCGGCATATTAAGACCATTGCGGGTGGGCTCTGCGCAGGACGTACGCTGGTGGGGGTGGGGGATGCCCCCCCCCCCATCCACTTAATATTTCGAGACCTGCAAGTCCCATTTAGATCCGGTTAGTGACATATGCTGACTCTTTGCGTTAACTGTAGGCAAGTCTGTATTTCGAAAACACAAAAAGTCGCAAAAACGGGGTTCACAGAACTAAAAGAAATGTAAGAATCGCAATTCTTATCGAGTGTTATGCACTGATAGAATGTTGTTGCTTATAGGCTGATTTGGTCTAGATGGTAGGACAAGGCTGTCCAATAACACATACCAACTATTCGAATAACACTATACCAACTATTTGCCTTTTCAGAAAAGAAAAGAAAACCATTCCTAGGCGTTTCTGGTAGGTGAAATTGAGCCCCTCCGCCCCCTCCTCTGAATTTCCTTGCCTCAATCAAAATTTCATTAGTCATTGTAAGAGCACATGTGTTTAAAGCAGGGGCTCCGCCACAGGTAAATTATTGGGGGGGGGGGGGGTCCGGACCTCTCCCCCAATAATTTACCCCCCCCCCCCCACCCATATTCCGGATACCTATAAGCGTGTTTTCGCTTAAGAATGAATAAATCATCCACAGAATGTGTTGAAAAATTTAGAATGTGTTGACAGTCGCAAAGCTAAGGAATTTAAGATCTAGAAATGTAGGGGAACCCTTAAAATGTTGTGACACACGAATTGCTCAACATTCGCCGACCTATATGTACGGGAGTGTCAGTCTACCATTTTGTTATTAGGTACTATGAATGCGTTTAAGATTGGTAGGATTAGCTAAGCATGCTAGAAATGGGCTATAATTTCGTGAGAGGGGTCCAGCTTGCAGGACACCTCCTAGACACATGAATACCCGCCCCCCAAAAAGCTTCAAATCGATCTGAGAATCCTATTTCCATGTGAGGTCACCCAAGTGTTGGGGGTGGGGGGTCCAAGCCGGTCTTTCGAGCACCATACTATGTAGTCTAAGCATTAGCAGCCTCACACCGTTCTGAGATAATCTGCAATAATTTGCACACTGCACAGGGTTCTGAATGCAGGTTGGTAGAGATAGGACATCTACAAGTCACAACTCTTATAGGACCCCCATAACCTGACCTTTGATTCATGTGCAGCATTTTGATATCCATTTTCAGGTCAAGCTAGGTCACACTCTGATCACAGAGACTGGATGTCAGTCTCTAAGGACCCCATACTGCTTTATGAATTATGAGGGCAGGGTTTTCAAATCCTTACGACTCCTAAAGCCTTGCGCTTTCCTTTAACTACGGCCTTGGAGGACCCAACACTGGCCTAAGAGCCTACATCGATATCTGAGCGCCTATGAAGGTCCCTGAATTCCCAAGCCCATGCCAGTCACTGAGAACCTAATGCGCTGTCTGATGGCTAACACCGCCCTTGGAGCGCGCAACAGCGGCCTCCATTCTCAAGGACGTTTTGAGAGGCCCGGTGCTAGCGACTTCAGAGGCGGATCCAGCTCAGAGTTTTTTTTTTGGGGGGGGGGGGGGCAAACCATAACAATTTATCGATTCTTTCCATGCCTCGTCCATAGGCGTAATGTTAAAATTATGCCGTTTGGGGGGGGGGGCAAATGCCCATTTGCCCCCCCCCCCTGGATCCGCCACTGAGCGACTTTAGCGAGTGTCATTTGAGCGAACGTCATTTGAGCGAACCATTTTCAGCGAATGGCAATTTAGCGATTATCAAGTTCAGCGATTATCAAATTAAGCGATTAGCAATTTAAGCGAAAGCTATGTTTCAGCGACATCTATTTGGTCGACTACAATTTGAGCGACTGTCAGTTCAGCGAAATACTTCATCGTCCTGTAAAAATACGAACATTTTCGTCCTGAGTGTATGACATTCCAAGCCCCAAATCACAAACCCTCCTCCTAATTGCTTGCCCAAATTGAAAAAACATGCCCTAATTTGAATCCCAGAAAAAGGTGTCTCACCGACTGATGTGCTACGACCTCAAAATCAGTGGTACCAGAAACTGGCTGCAAATTTTGAATAAATGTTAAAACTTTGTCCCAGGTTTTGTCATAGGGAACCCTTGTTTTAGCCGTAAGAATGGCATAACATAAATGCAAGGAATGGCATGGTCCTTCCCCAGAATTGCATGAACCGTGTAAAGTTGAAGGGCAAAAATTGGGGATAGGGGAAGTCGGGGAACTCCGGGCGCGGGGGAAGCCCGGCCACCCCGTTTGCGGCTAAATTATTCATAATAAAATGCTTATGTGTTTGTCCTTTCAGCGTGGCAGCTGAGGTAACGCCAGCGTAAAAGTTAAAAATGAATTGTACAGCGCTTATAGATTCTTTCTGTAAATCCCTCCAAGCGGCATTAGTAACTACGAGTTTATCGATTGTGCAATCACCTCTTCCGCATGACTCGTTATTTTCTGCTGCGTTCTATCCTTTTGACAATATGAAATAAGACAGTGACCCGCCGCCTTAAGAGTATCAAATCGTTGCTACATCCGAGCCCAAGCCTCGCCCAAGAGCTGGCGATGGAACAAGTAAGACGATAAAAATGAGCCACTGGATAGCAGCAGTTCGTTCTATGCACTTGTATTTGCTGGTGAAAAGCACGACAGAACACATGCAAGTCCTTTAAAAATCTCCATAAAACATTAGTTCGAGCAACTAACAACACAGGCGTTGAATCAATGCATACCTATACGAACCAATATTCGTCAGGTCTTAAGACAAAAGAAAAAGAATAAGTCATTGATAAACAGGAATATAATAAACGTTGCGTGACTCACAGGATTCAATTAAATACTGGTGGAGCAATGTCACAGAGCGAAGATATCTGTCTATATACGCCAGGTCAGCCAGAGTACAGACGAAATTCGCGTTACACAAACACACACACACACACACACACACACATACACATTGGCATTACGCAGTGTATTGTCAGCTATTGTCAGCTACATCTGCCGCGCATCCTTCATCTCCCTCCCATACATCCCATACATGTATTCCCTCCATTCGATCTTCGACTCTCTTGTCGTTCCGAGTAGCGTGGGGTCGCCGCGCCGCCCTCGGGGCACAGCCAGACACCGTCACACCCGACCCACTGCACCGCCTCCGCAGTCCGACAGAGCCCCGAGCCGCAGTCACTGGGCCCTTCCGCCACCTACACCGTGTAGAGCGCGGCCAGCAGGGCGGCCGGCAGCAGCAGCAGCAGCGCCGGCGTCGACAGGCCGGCAGAGTTGCAGTAGTCGGTGCTGCAGATGCATTCTGTTCCACTCAGCTGACCAAAATCAAACTTACTGCAGCCATCAGCAACGCTTTTGCCCGTGCAGCCCCGAATAACGCCGTTGTTCTGGACGACTTTGCTGCACTTTGTCTCCTGATCGGAACACTCGTAATAGAACTTGTCGTTGCTAGTGTCCAGCTCCGTACATGGCTCAGCGTCCTGTTCAGCGATATCAGAGCACTGGTAGCATTTGAGCGCCTGACAGGCGGGTAGCAGCGCCAGCAGGGCGGCCAGGGCCAGCAGCGGCACCAGCGGACGGCGGCTCATGGCGGCGGAGTGGAGCGGTGCGCACCTCGGCGGAGACGGCGGACGAGTGAGGGTCGACACGATCACCGAGTCTCCGCAGCTCCGACTCTAATCGCCAGATAGCGCAGCGTGTCGGCCGGCCGACTGCCGAGCCGACCGTCGAGTGGCGTCGCTCTGTGTGACGGGGCCGTCCGGTCTCGCGAGAAAACAGCACACGGTACACTAACTGTGGGTGGTCACTGTACAAATGTACAAACGAGCCGCTCCGAAACAGCCTTGAGTGTGCCGTGCCGAGACGTTTGCCAGCCCATGACGCAAACGACGAAAGTATTAGTAAACATCAGCGATAATTCAATAAAAGAGCGAACGATATTTCCCGTGTCATTTTGATTTCCCGTGTCATTTTGTTCGGCATTATTACGCTTAGCTCATGGTGCTTTCATTCCGGATGCGTAATCGTATGGACATGGCCTAACCACTAATGGTCAAAAAGTCATTTCACAATACCTACAAACATTCCGTCGAGATCGCCGAAATTTCTAAGCGCAAGTCAACACCAGAAGCAAGATAATGCCAGTCAACAGGCAGAACATTATACAAAAGTCTTCAATTTGGCTTCGGGATGCCGATTGCCGATGTCCATTTCATAAAAGCAGTTCTATTAGCCTGACCAGACTATTCGCGATCTCGGAACATTTTCCCAATCGTGCAATTTAGTTCTCCTGCCCTTATGAATCTTTGAAACATAACAATGAGCAGGGGCGGATCCAGAAAATCTCCAAGGGAGGGGCCATTAGAAACCAGGAGGCCCCCCCCATAATCCCACCTGTTGGAGGCCCCATCTTCCCACTTGTTGGGCCCCCCCCAAAAAAACTGCGTCTATTGAGCTTATCTAGCTGTTCAGGCAACATCTCCACATTTGTGCAGGCTTGGAGGCCCTCTGTGCAGGTTAGGAGGCCCTGTAAAAGTGGTCATCTCTGTGAGTATAAGAGACCTCCAAGTTATGAAAAGCTTTACCAATCTTCTAACAAAGAAGTCTTCTCAGCTAGTCTTCTAAGAAATAACTAAGTGGGTAGGTTAAAAAAAACTCATCGGATTTCGGCCACTTTATTTTCAGGATGCCCCCTTTTCAGCTTTTTAACTTTTTATTTTATTTTTGAAAAAAATCGGCCAAGGGGGGGGCCATGGCCCCCATGCCCCCCCCCTTGTATCCGCGCCTGACAATGAGCATAATATTCTGAAAGTTGCAAATCTAACGTTGATCGATTTACCTCAAACCTTGACCCAATCAGTTTGGGTCGAAGTACTGCCGCTAGGCCGCGAAATGCGCTGGCCGCGATGAATTTAGAATCAGTGGTACCACCGTTATGCAGTGTCAGCTCAGCAGAAGATGCAATATTATTTATACCAAGAATATCAAAACTAAAGGTCGATTAGCTAATCCTGGTTAAACAAACATACCTACGCCGTTTTTTGTCCAAATCACATGATCCAGTGTTAAATGTCCTTTGTTTTACGCAAACGCCAAGACTTGTTTGTCACCAAGCGGCACGACATGAGTAAGGTGATTTACGAGTTAGGTCGAATAAGCAACACTTGCACAGCTCAGTTCTTCAAATAGCGAGAAGAATTAAAAGCACCTCAACATTCAATGACATAAAGATCGTAGTGCCTTTTCCTTCAAACCTTATGAGAATAAACTTCGTTTGACCTTGGTAGTGTTAAATGTTTGTTAGAAAAGGACACGCTTAACCCGCGCCACAATGGCGGTCTCAGCCAACTTCGCCCTAGTGGGGGGGGGGGGGGGGGGCACATGTTACCATTAACACCCACCTCTAACTAAAAAAACTAAGAGGGCTAGAGAGACGCGGTGAAAAGCAGTCGATAGCTCTCAATGAGTACGCTTGAAAGTATTTCGGTCATTTTTCATCTTAGAGCAATATTGGGGTCACCGGAGGTCATCAAAGGTCAAAATTTGCCAAATGTCATTATATTTTTCAGAACACATGCAGTTATCTCAGGAACTATGATAGCTAGAAAAACGCATGGAAAAGCAATCGATAGCTTTTGAACTCTTCTTTTGATAAGGTCATCATCAAAATTGACCTCAGGTCAACGGTTAAGCCTCCATAGGTCAAATATTGTGAAAATAGCTGTTTTTGCTTAACCCGCGCCCCGTAGGGCTATCGGCGGACCCTACCACCCGTGGGGGGGGGGGGCGTTTCGGCCCCCCCTAAGATCTCGGAAATTTACCGGCCGATTTTCAAAATTCAAACGGCGTTCGATAGCCCCACCAGGGAACTACCTTGTGACCAAATTTCATTGACCTAGGTCAAACCGATGACGTCACATGTCAGGTCAAAGGTCGGATTTTCACCGTTCACAGGCATTTCAAGAAATGTGTTGTGAAATCGAGTAAATTGGTAAGTTATTGAAAACCATCAATGGTACATTGTTCGTCAGACACATACTTCGCTATCTGAGGTCACTGATACCAGGTCAGGTCACAGAGGTCAGGTCACTGGGGGTCACCTGGGGGTCACAATATGAAAGTGTCGTGTGATACATGTTTTATGGTCCATTTTACATGACAAATGCGATTATGTGGGTCAGGCAGCCTTAAGGGCCAGCTTATGTCACGTTTTGGTGAAGGTCAGGTCAAGGTCAGGTCAAATTAGGTCAAATTTCAAATTTGATATTTTTGCATAAAATGGGTATCGATTCGATGCAGCTCGTCACGGGGAGTCTAATGCTGGTCTTTGTTTTGCTCTACGTGGTCTACAATTACCAAAAATTGAGTTTGAAAATTTGACGTCATCATTTTTGAACAGTTTTTTTCGCTATAACTTGGCCAAAAAACAAGATATTGATCTGAAATTTGATATGTAGATAGAAGACGACAGGTACTAACACATATATTCCGGTTTTTACGAAACTCAAAAAACTTTTTGGATTTTTTGGCAAATATATCCAAAAAAATTGCTTTTTTGAATTTTGGGGGTCAAAACTCAAAAATTTCAAAAATCCGAGATAGCAGTTTTGTAGCCCTGTCAATTCTACACCTTTTATGTCTTAATCATTTTTCTGTATCTTTAAAGCTGTAGGCCTGACAGCTCTTCTCGCGAAGGTCTTTTTTCGGTCGAAAATGGCAGAACATGACGTCACTCTGACGTCATTTGTGGCCAACCTATCATAGCCTCTGGAAAATTTTTTTGTCACAATGTGTAAAATTGATGCCCGGAGGGGTCCTGAAAGTTTGGTGGCGATATCTCTAGCCGTTTAGGAGATATCGACGGAAAAGGACAGGGATGGGCCGTTTCGCCCCCCCCCCCCTACGGGGCGCGGGTTTTAAAACTTTTTCACAAATAACTTTTGAACCAGCAAAGATGAAGAATTGGCAATGACACTCTCGTGTTGATCTCCTTCAGGCGCTTCGAAACATATATTTTTTTACCTGGAAAGGTCAAGGTCAAATTTTGACCTAAGGTCAAGATCACGTGATGACCCAAATAGGTCATGTTGCTTATCATTCGATGAGTCTCGACAAGATAAACACAATGAAGCTACCTCCAGCGTTCTAGCTCTTTCCAATCGCGAGTTATTGGCAAAAAGCTGTTTGTAGCCTCAAATGACATCGGATGACCTTTCTAGAAGCTATCAGCAAAAAAGACATCTTGGCCGTCACGGGTGGTTCAAATCATCGTGATTCTGAAATATTTGGACTATTCCTATGCGTGCACACGGATCTAGAGGCATTTTCATTTGTCCATTGACTTATAATGGAAAGGTCACGCCACTGCACTGTCTTGACCTTAGGTCACGGATATAAAAAAATCCGAGATATACAAAACATAGGTGCCCATACCATCATGCAATCCGCCAAGTTTAAAACCTCTCTTACAAACACTGCAGGCTGGACATGATTGCAAACTTTTTTAGGCTTGGTCAGTCAACTTGACCTGGTGACCTGACCTGACATGACCTGGGTCAAAAACTTCACACATTGTCCAAAATTGATGTGCAGAAAGTTACTTCAAGCGGCGCAGCGCTACGCGACGCGGTTTTTTATTCACAAGCAAAAAAAAAAAAAACGCGACAGGGTGGTAACATATGCCCCCCCCCCCCCCCACACTGCACTGGGGCGAAGGTTAATAATTAAGACCCAGCGACCCCTGGCGAGTCTCAGGTGTCCATTTCAGCGTTTTAGCCTTACTTGGTGAGTCGCAGCCTGTTGTGCAAATTTGTGCACCATCTCTTTAGTGAGCTTGTTGAGCTCTCTCAATTCCATCGCAAAGTCTCTGTTGTGTGCAAGATTCAGGTCGATCTGAGGTTTTAATTAGAGTTCCGGTTGGGCCTGGACTGAATGCCTTGACAGACATTAAGTCCTGTAACTTAAAAAAAAACATTGCTTTGAATGTGTGACCGTTTATTACATGAAAAATGCGAGCATTGTCGTCGCAACACGCTCGGACGAACATATATACACGAATAAGACTCGGTATTCGAGGCTCGCCAGAGGTCATACCCCACTGGGCGTAAAACCCAGCGGCATTATTTGACCAACACCATGTCATTAACCACGGTCGCCGTTCGACACCACTCACTTGTATCCACTCCAAATCGTGTCCCATTCACCAGAAGTCAGTCTTTCCGTATGCACACATTCTCAGCCAATATGAGGCAGAGGTTTTAGACGAAAAGAAACGCCGTGCGTCTTTCTGACGCCTACGCCGCGTAGAGCGCGGCCACTAGGGCGGCCGGCAGCAGCAGCAGCAGCGCCGGCGTCGACAGGCCGGCAGAGTTGCAGTAGTCGGTGGTGCAGCCGCAGTAGGTGACACCGTTTTCCTCCACGCATCCCTCCTTGATGGTACTGTCGGAGCAGACTCGCTTCTCTCCGCCGTTCCAGGACCCCTTGGCGCAGATCGGGTTAAGGGCGGTGCATTTCTCCTTGAACTTGTCGTTGCCGCTGTCGAACTCGGCGCAGGTGGGTATCATCGCGCCCCCACTGACGGCCCGCAGCAGCGGGTGATCCGAGTCGCTCGGCGCTGGGTCTGCGCAGACGTAACAGCTGAGGCCCCGGACGGCGGGCGGCAGCGCCAGCAGGGCGGCCAGGGCCAGCAGCGGCACCAGCGGACGGCGGCTCATGGCGGAGGAGCGGAGCGATGCGCACCTCGGCGGAGACGACGGACGAGTGGGGGCCGATCGAGCGATGCGTGTAATCAGCGCTCCCGATAACGCTGTGACGTGGCCTCTATCTCGTGGCGGGACGGGCGGACCACGGGCGGTCAGGGCTTTGTGCGGGGGCCAGCGGAGGTGACCCGGTCGGAGGGGGAGTGACCCAGGTGAACTTGTTGCCTGGGTGACCTGTGACCCATGACTTGGTGACTCGGGTGACGGCGGTTGACAAAGGTGACCGAATGAAAATCCACAGGCCCGGTACATACCTCTAGTCTAGAATCTTCAAGCTTTAACTAATCGAGTGTCGGATGGGTACCGAAAGGCTCCCTAGTCTCTGTTTTCTTTTTTTACCAAATTTGAAAGCCCCGAACGCATCATAAGCGATTTGCGGATCCATACACATAAGGGTTGACTTTTAGCTAATGACTGTCACCTAAGGCAGTTTGAAAAAGAAAATATGTTGTTAAGCTATTGCCTCGAGATAATGTCAATGTTGGTCGTGTATCGTTGGCTGCCGGAAGGTTTCAGTATCTAAGATAGGTGGACTATACGTATTAGCTCGCTGAAAACTAGCTCGGTATTCGAGGCTCGCCAGAGGTCATACCCCGGATCTAAGGCTAAAGCGTTAGATGTCTTATTCGAATTTTATTTTATACCACCCAACTATGTATTGGCATCGGTGAAAAAATCGGACGAAGGCACACAATAAGTTTACACGAGCAAAATAAAAGAAACAGGACCGTCATGTTATGAAAGTATCGCGATCAACACGCTGATCAAAGAGCTTCGGTCGACATGTTTTCAAATCCCTGCAGTCATCATTCCAGTCATCAGCCATCACCATCCTCCTTCGGAAGCTCTGCAGAACCACCGGTTGCCTACACCGCGTAGAGCGCGGCCAGCAGGGCGGCCGGCAGCAGCAGCAGCAGCGCCGGCGTCGACAGGCCGGCAGAGTTGCAGTAGTCGCCGGTGCAGGAACAGAAGGAGACACCGTCCTCCACTTCACAGCCCTCTCTGAGCGTGCTGTCCAGGCAGCCACGCATCTCTCCACCGGACCAGGAGATCCTGGCGCATCGTGTGACGTACGGAAAGAGGCAGCGCTCCACTTTGAAGTCGCTGCGGCTGGTGTCGAATCCCGAGCAGCGCGGCGCCGAGGGACTGCCTGGCAACGGCGGCAGTACGTACGGGTTCGGATCCTCGCATTGGAAACAGTTGATGCCGCGCACGGCGGGCGGCAGCGCCAGCAGGGCGGCCAGGGCCAGCAGCGGCACCAGCGGACGGCGGCTCATGGCGGCGGAGCGGAGCGGTGCGCACCTCAGCGGAGACGGCGAACGAGTGAGGGTCACCCGATCCAGCGAACATGTGCGTTCCATAACGGCGTACCCACAAAGGTCCTATCGCTGGCCCGGGCATGGCCCGACCAGGCGTGCACGACGGAAGTGTGCCGACCGATGTAAGGCCAGTGATAGCGTCCAACAACACCGATATACACCTGAACACCGACACACTTCCCGTACATTTACCGGTCAATGCCAAAACGTAGAAACTTTCTTCAAACTTCCAGCCTGCAATGTTTGAGTTGTAATCGTACGGATTCTCCACGTTTCTAGTTAACGATTTTAATCCTGCAAAGTTGACGAACAGACTGGGCGATCTGAAGACGACACCTTAAATCAACAGTAGGCATCGTCAGAGGCTTCCCCTACAAGACAACAATCTTCTGACGCGTACTAAACCTAGTTCCGAGGGACAGGCACCTTATCTTTGACCCCGTCCACTTGCAATGGCGAGTTTCGAACTTATACCAGGGAAAATGATGAAGGGAAATTCACCAATCCCGAGCACCGTCGGTTCTGTCCGTTCATTCCGCGGCTAGCATGAGAGCTTTGGCAGGGGTACGGATACAATGTTTTCAAGCAGTTGAATATACCATTAGGCGATGTTTTGGCGATGTTTATGGCTGAGCAGTCTCAAATTGGCTGGACCTTAGTTGCATCAATCGGTTCTTCAATTCATCACTCATTCCACAACCACTATTTCTGACAAAAATTGCCGGGCGGGGAGGCTGTGGGGACATGGCGCTTTGGCTGGACGGAGGTCGACACTTACAACTCATTACTATGAAAAAGTCGTAGGCATTCGTTGCCCTGCAAGTATTTTTGAAGTGTGTGAAGTGTAGCTAGTTCGTGTAACAATTGTGTCTAGGTGGGTAGCGAGAGGCATCTTGTAATAAGCGCTTAACGAGCTTTTACGCCAATTTGTGTATGTCTTGCTGTATTAATGTGAATATGTTGTAAATAAATTCTCTCTCTCCTCCGGAGGCTTTGCAAATAAAATCGTACCGAATTCCAGCATGTAAACAACAATTATAACTGAAAAGAATCGGCAAATAATTACATCAGTCCTGTGACAAATGTTCATTATCCCCAGCCTCGAACCGTCATGCTTACAGTCGGGTACACCTAAAACGTCACACTCACTAACCCCCACCCCACCCTCACATTAGCTCCCACGTTCACTGAAGTCCCTATAGCCATGGCCCCACGAGCAGACCAGCCGATTAGATACCATCAGCAAACAGAGCCGGGAGGCCACGTGGGTCGTCCCAGGCGCCTTTTTGGCGCGCCTCGGTGGCGGGGCAGGTGGCGCTGCCGCGCCAAATCAGCCGCCGAAGACGGCAGGGTACACGGCGCAATCGGGGGATTATATGTAGGCCGGAGGCTCCTACACAAGCAGAATGTATACATGGGATGTACACAGTCGACATAGGCGCTGGAGAAGAAGGGCGCACGGGTTTATGGGTGTACCACTGTACCGCTGTATTGTCATTTGTGGACCAGGAGTTATCTGTGTGTATAGTGGGATATCGTACTGATCGGTATACCACCGTCGCGACTCGAGACCAAGGGCTCAGAAGTGCGGTGGGTGCACTCCTTTGTCTCTGGGACCCTGCTGATCGTACTCGGGTGCCAGCGGGGTGTCTCGGACCCACCTGGGTGTAGTGGGTACACTGGAGTGCACCCGGGACCCACCTGGGTCTCCTCGGGTGCCTGTGGGACCCTCCTGGATGCAGTGAGTGCACTAAGGTGCACCCGGGACCCACCTGGGTGTACTCAGGTGCCTGTTGGACCCTCCTGGATGCAGTGAGTGCACTGGGGTGCACCCGAGACCCACCTGGGTGTACTCAGGCGCCTGTGGGACCCTCCTGGGTGCAGTGAGTGCACTGGGCCCTGGGGTGCACCCGGGACCCACCTGGGTGTACTCAGGCGCCTGTGGGACCCTCCTGGGTGCACCAGGGACCCACCTGGGTGTACTCGGGTGCCAGCGGGGTGCCCGCGGTGACGGCCGGGCCGCCTCCGTGCATTTTGAGGGCGCGCACGGTGGCCACGATCACGGCGGCGTCTGGTGTCAGGCCCGAGGCGCGGCACTTGATGTTGAAGAACTTCTCCATGCCTGCAGCGAGGTCATGTCACCGGCGTCAGACAGACACACGGAATGGCGACGGTGGTCCCGCATCGGGAGGGGGATGCATGAATCATAGCCGTGTGATTCGAAATACCCTGATTGATTGATTGAGTAGTTGATTTAAGAAAGAGGCGAAATAGTAAAACGTGAGCTCAAAAGTCACACAACCTGAAACCGTGCGCGATGCGCATACCACTAAACACAACACAGACATCAGCATTTCATTTTTGCGTGTCCTTCCTCCACCCTACAGGTACTTTCAGTAGTAGCTACCTACGCCTACCTAACCCCGATGGCCGATACCCATCCCTTCCTCGCCCCCCCCCCCAATATTCCCCTCCCTACCTCGCTAAACTCCTCTCTCCCTCCCCTCTCACCACATTCTTGCATGCCATTCTCGCACCATACGGTTTTCAGTTTTCGCCAGTTGCACCTATGACCACACTCACTCGCCCTGCTATTTACTCCTCCCCTCCCTCTCTCTCCCTCTTTCTCTCCCTCCCTCTCGCTCTCTCGCGCTCTCGCTCTCTCTCTCTCTCTCTCTCTCTCTCTCTCTCTCTCTCTCTCTCTCTCTCTCTCTCTCTCTCTCTCTCTCTTTCCCCTCTCACCGATATCGGCTCCGAAGCCGGCCTCGGTCACCACGTAGCCCTTCTGTCCGACCAGTTTGAGCGCGATCCGGTCGGCCAAAACACTCGAGTTGCCGTGAGCGATGTTAGCGAACGGACCGGCGTGAACGAACACCGGCGTTCCCTGCAGCGTCTGCATCAGCGTTGGACGGATCGCGTCCCTCATCAGCACCGTCATGGCTCCCGACACGCCCTGGAAGAGAGGGTAGAGTAGAGGGCGTCAGAACGGAGGGTGGGAGGCGGAGGGAGGGTGGGGAGTGAAGAGGGGTGAGAGTGAGCGCGTACGATGTAGATCAAATGAATGAGATGTGGTTGGAGCGTTAGTGGACAGGTGGAATCGACTGCCTGCATCGAGTGAGGCCACCGGGTGTTTGGCCCTCTATTGCCACCAGAAATGGTAGTGATGTCACGGTCGTCAATAGGGTCACTTCACTGTATGTATGGTCAAGGATGTCATCTTCCCAAAAGACCCACCAGCTCCATTCATCGCTCCCAAGGACATCACATTCACGTCCCGATCATCCCTGCCTCCTGGGAATTGGATAGTACTTTCTGTAAGCAAGTATTGTTTGAACACGTTTTTGCAAAGCCAAACGTAATTCAAAAGAGCATAAATATGCGGGACCGATGGGGCCAGGGGGCACTGCGCCCTGACAACCGACGTGCCTCCCTGAATCCACCGGTACCGAGGGGCGACATCTCTGCGGACCGTGCGCAGCACCAGCCGCCGGTCCGGTCCGGTCCGCTATCGTACAGACATCCGGCGCCGTCCCCCTGCTCCCGGCTCCGGCGGCACTGACCAGTGACGCTCGGTGGCCGTCCTCAGCTGGACAGACTCGGCTGGATAGCTACAGAGCTGGTCAGACTCGGCTGGATAGCTACAGAGCTGGGCAGACTCGGCTGGACAGCTACAGAGCTGGTCAGACTTGGCTGGACAGCCACAGAGCTGGACAGACTCGGCTGGACAGCTACAGAGCTGGTGCCACTCGGCTGGATAGCTACAGAGCTGGTCAGACTTGGCTGGACAGCTACAGAGCTGGTGTCACTCGGCTGGATAGCTACAGAGCTGGTGCCACTCGGCTGGACAGCTACAGAGCTGGTGCCACTCGGCTGGACAGCTACAGAGCTGGTGTCACTCGGCTGGACTTGACTAGTCACAGCCACAGAGAGTGGTCCTAGCCTGTGGTGGCTGAGTTAGAGTGTTGACAGACACGATGGCTACTCTGTGGATTGTGGTGGTGTTTGTGATAGTGTGTATGAAGGCGGTGACGGTCTCAGCAGCAGCAGAGACGGCAGGGGAGGAGAACACAGGAACGCAGAGCGTCTCGCTCACATGTCAACAGTGCACCTGCGGTCAGCAGGAGAGCGTGTTCAGTTTCCACTGTGAACTGACAGGGACAGAGGTAAGGTCGGCAGAATAGTGTTCAACTCATGAGAGAGGCGGTCTTAACTAGAAATTGAGGTAAATGTTCCATCATTCACACGAGCGCATGGACTGTTTCAAACAAATCACCTCCTTGGCTACTACAGGAGCCAAGGAGGTGGCTCCTGTAGCAGGTCTCTCAGCAGCAGCAGTTAGACTACTTTCTGTAGATCTGACAGATTTCTCATATTCCAGGACGTGGTGCTCAACTCGTCTGGTCCGTTGGACTTCTCCAGCCGGACGCTCTACATGCGGGTGGAGGGCGCTCGCTCGCTGCACATGGGCGAGGACTTTCTGTCCGCGCTGCGGCGCTACTACTCCGTGGCCGTCGACCTCTGGGGCATTGGCAACGTGACGTTCGCCGCAGAGTTTCGACCCAAGAACAGGTTCCTGTTCATGGGTAAGGAGTGAACGCTGGGACGACGGCAGACCGGCCTGAAGGAAGGCAGGCAGACGGTGGAATGGGACGATATAGCAGATGGGATTCAATTGAGTTACAACAATTAAAGGGACCCTCCCACCTTCACATTAGATTTGAGTTGAGATAGCCAAAATGGGGTCCCTGGCTCACAATTACCGGTTTCGGCACTCACAACATCGAGAAATGCCTTAAATCGGAAATATTGAATTTCAAAATTGCAGCATTTTGATTCAGAGGGGCTAATGCATAGGAATACCCCTCTGAATGTGTGACGTCGGCGCAGATATCTAACGATTTTTAAATGTTTGACTAAAATGTTTGGTAGCACGCGGTGGTATATGCTGCTTTGCGCGCAACAAATGCCGCACTTTCAAATAAAGTCCCTGGGAACAGCGGAGATCCCAAAAAGTAAACAAAAGTAAAAGTATAATATCTTGAAAACCGGTGAATATTTTTCGATGAAATTTGGTAGATATTCGTTTTCGCTCTTTCTGAACCGAGCGACATAACTTTCATGCCAATTCATTAACTTTTTGAAGATGGGAGGGTCCCTTTAAGTATTTTAAGTATTATTAATTAATGGCAAAAATGATAAAAGGATAAACGATAGGTAAACAATCTAATTTCCACCAGTCCTGACCTACCTAAAAACATTTTTTGTGCCCAGTGAATTCCTAAATTAAGCTTTTCTTTCTAAATCAGCCCTGCTTGTTTCTTGCTCATCATTTACGAGCGCATGAGCTCAACCGTCATACTTGACCATAAAACTAAGTCCATTTTATGACAAAGATCACAATCGGAATGACGGAGTCCATTAAACCAACAACCCCACAAAGCGCACGGCGTTCTGCAAACAGAACATTGGCACCAGCAGGCCGTGAGTAGGCCAAGTTCCGTCTGGACATCAAACAGCACACAGCCTGCTATCAACTGCAAGTGCAGACATATGACTTTCACCTCCGCCATGCCTTATAAGCACCGCTGCTCGGACCGTGAACGCCAGGGGGAGGGGGTGCGATAGCTTATCATCTGAAGTAAAATCGGTAAACAAAGCTGTTCAATAACGGACAAAGAGATTCAAAGAGCGCGACCTAGCAGCGGCGTCCGATGAATCACGTCGATGAGACTTGACCGTGACAGAGCGGGAAATTTCCACCGGTATTTCCGACTTGTTTGTGATTTTAGTACGGCCGGACTTCCGAGGTCACCGGCGTCACCGGCGTCACCGGTATAGCCACAGTTATTGGAGTGCGAGACGATGAGAAAGGCGAAAAGGAACGTAGTGCCGATAACCACACCGACTCCAGCAGCTGGCGCATCCTTCGTTGTTGACTCGACACAAGACCGGATCACAAAACTCCCACGTGCTTCCGTTGAGGTCACCGGTGGGTTTATCGCATGAAGGATTCATTGAAGTGAAACAAAAGATATAGCACAGTGAGACAAAACATACATAAACATAAGATCGAACGGTAAACAGGTTATGTACATAACACAATGTGTTTTACCTACTGTTCGAACTGCAAAACTGGAGGCAATTAGTTCATTTGATAATGTTGCTGGTCTCGTGCAAAGCCTGGCCCAAAGGAAAAGACAAAACCCGATACAAAGGGATAGCGCACAATCCATAGCTGGGTGGCTTATGTCATGCTTTTGAGGAAGATAAATCAAGGATGTGTAAGCTAAGGCTTCGTTGAAAAACTTCTACTCAGTTGCTTTCGAAAAAAAAATCCCGTTCCGAGAAAACCTCTGCGTGCTGGACAGTATTTGAACCAAAAACACATTTACCATACTCAAGCCATACGATATAACGATCAACCTGCAACAAGACAGAGAATAAGAAAGAGATAATGAAGGTTGTATAAATGACACAGAAGGACGCAACCTCGACACCATAAGTACGCCAATCATTTCACTCTTGTAATGAGAGCTGAAAACGGAATGAAATACGACCATATCCAAAAATGGTAATAGAACAACAGAAGCTAATAATTCGGGATAGTAGCTCTGAATTAGCAGCCACCACGTATTACCCGGATCACAAAGTTGGCTGTTGTTTGTTATGTTCACGGCACATATAGGTTGTGTGCGTTGTGCAACACTGCAATGATGTGTGTGGAGGTTTTAACATCAGGGAGGGTATAACCTCCTGTGGAACCGTGACTAGGCCTTCCGGGAACTGTGGTAGTGACGCAACGTGCACGATACGGGGACACGTTAGTAAGGATAGTTACACGGTGACACATGCTGTGTCAGATCGATCACAAACGTTGGCCGAATGCCACACAGCGACACGAAGATTCTCTTAGGCCAGCAAGCGTCCTACAGCTGTGGTCCGTATTGGTGGGGGCACTTCTCTATACCCGTCGCCCAGCGAGAGCGTTCGAGCTTTGAGGACCGATTGTTCCCAGCCCTGTCCTATTCCCAGCCCAGTCCTGGCAGCTCTGCCAAAGGCCATCACTGAGCTAACCCTCCTCAGCTTGGAAGACCTACTCGGGCGCCAGTAAATAAAAAGTAACGGCTCAGCCCCCTCAAAAGTCCTGCTGGGGCACCAGTCGACGCAACACTCAGTTCGCTCGTAAGCCCTGCTCGGTTACCAATCCCTCTGACCCCTCCATCCCCTCCCCCCCCCCCCAGGTGTGGGCATCGTCAACTGCACGGTCCCGGAGCTGCCGCGCGGCGTGCTCTCCCACAGTAACGCTGTGGGTCTGCGGGTCTCCGGCTCCCAGCTGGGGGTGATTCGACGCGGCGCCTTCGCGCAGGTCAACAAGGTGAGGTCCGGGCACCGGCCCGGCGGTGCAGACCGAGGCACGCCGGTGAGTCATACCGAGCTAACACATATCTGACGCGATAAGGCCTGCTGTTAGAAGGCGGTTTGCAGGGTTTCCATCAAACTATCGCCAACAATGTGTGGGTATTCCGTCACCAAAAACTAAACCCACACAGCAGAAATTTCAAATGTTGGCACTTGGCAGGACGTGGCATGATAACTTGGTCCCTGTTGATCGAGCAGAACGTTGCACAATTAATCGTAATCCTCGCTATCAGCACTCAGTTCAAATTCACACTATCACCTCGCTCCAACGGGCGTCCCATACCAGTGCCGCTATCGCAGCCCTCCCTAAGCCCTCACCGTCCGTCCGAGCCCTTCAAAACCTTAACCTCGCTGTGACGGGTTTAGGTTTACGAGTACATACGTTCAGTTTAGGAAATAAAATCCTCTCTGGTCCCACTCGGGTCTTCAAAGCCCTTTTAAACGTACATAACTAAACGTGTTATTATAGGTACTTTGAAACGCAGCCAATGTATGATACTACGACCAGTTGCTAAAAAAATTGTCCGGTTGCAGTTTTCCAGACACATTATACTATCCCGGGCCAATACTCAAGATGATAATTCCGACACTGGTCCTCCCCCTCCTATCCCCAGGTGCTCTCCGATGCTCATCGAGCTCTCCTCGAGTCAGGTAACCACTGTGGAGGGTATGATAATTCCAAGACTGTTTTTCCCCCTATCCTCAGGTGCGGTACATCGAGCTCTCTTCGAGTCAGGTGACCACTGTGGAGGGTCCCCAGATGGGCCGTCTGGAGTTGAGTCACCGGCGGCACGTGCATCACGGCAGTTCCGGGCTGCGGGTGCACGGCTGCCGACTGGGAGCCGTCCAGGAGGGCGCGCTCAGTGTCGACACGCAGATGGAGGATGAATTTGTCGAGGTGAGGGAAGAAGGAAGGGGAACAGAAACGGAAGGTTGAGAGAAGGAAGGGAGGGGATATCGACAACAAACTGATATAATATGAGCGGGTTTCATCAGGAATCAGTATCTGACGCACTCGCTGCTATGAAAGTCGCTGTGTCTGGATTGATAGAAATAGGTCGCCCACTTCCCGTTTGCCACTTGAGCTATTTCGAGAAACTGAGTGAGGTGTGTTGCCATCAAGTGATGGCCGTCTTCCTTCAGGCAAAAGCACGCTGACACTCAATCTCAACATCGTCGTTCACCTGACCATTCCGCCCCTGCCTTCCGTCTCCATCAGATCTCGGACACGGTTATCTCAGAGCTGGGACCGGGCGGTCTGTCCGCCACCGGCGTCGGCTCCGCCACCATCAACCACACCGTCTTCGGCTACCTGTCGACCGGCGCCCTAGATCTGAGCACGCGCGGCGGCATCTCCCTGCTGCACTCTCGAGTGCTGGCCGCCGCGCCCGCTCCGCTGTGGAGGGTCCGAGGCGGAAACGGCACTCAGCTGAAGAACATCACATTCGAGCAGCCGCCCTCGGCAGCGATGGTGGTTCTCGACCAGCCGACGGGGGCGGAGCGGCTCAGTCAGCTGAGGTTCCCTTGTCCCGACGGGGCGCCACTGGGCGCCGGCTGGACGGCGGCGGCTGTGGCCGGTCGACAGACGGTCCCCGAGGGCCTGCGCCGGTACCTCCAGCTGGCAGAGGAGGCCGCCGAGTGCCACCCAGAGCCGGGGAAGGATGAAAAAGGCCCGCAGTCGGCCGCCGCGGCCCAGCCGCCCCCAGAAGCCGCAGGTGGTACGGGGATGTTCACTAACGCTGGACAGGTCGGCCTGGAGATCCTGATACTGACTCTGGCCGCGGCGGTGGTTACGGCCATTGTGAAGGTGGTGCTGATTGTGCGGGAACGGCGCCTGTCTGGGCGGATGGATGTCAGTGACGCACAGATACTGGTGGAAGCCAGCGACGCCCCAGGGCCGTAGAGCAGGGAGCGGGGATCACAGACTGGTGTCGGCATGGCTGGTGATTACAGGCGCTGACAAACACTGGAGACTGACGCCGACACTGACTGGAGTTGACTGAGCTCCACTGCAGTGACTGGGCTGAGCAAGTCTGGAGTGACTGGACTGAGATGAACTGAGCGCCGGTCGAAAAAAACCGCCGTAACGGGTAGCGAACTTACCAAAGCGTAGTCGAGCAAAGAGAAAAACGTGATATTGACAACATAATACGAGGCCTAATGCCAATACCTAGCGCGCGCAATGTATAAAAAGGGCCACTATAATATAAACTACTTTTAAGCCAGTTTTGTAAGAGACAGTCCAGCGAAGAGTCCGATGGTTAAGTGGAACGAAGATTATTCGTGTTTACCGGCCGATGGAAGGACATAAGGCTTACATTCCATATCAAAATACTTAACAACTTTTCAGCTGAAGTACATAAAACCAAGCCAGTAATGACTCGTTAGCAAGCGTCATCAAGGTATCAGCGTTCACTATCCACCCTCCCCCTTATCCCATTCACCCTCACCAGGTGGCCACACAACCTCCCTTCCCTCCCTCCCCAAGAGTTCGTCACCACCCCTTCCCTCCTCCTTCCTCACCAGATCATCAGCTGTGACCGGCTGGCCGGCGCGGTCCGAGGCTACCACGCAGCGTCCGAGTCTCTCCCGCATGTCCCGCAGGCTGGTAGTGAGGGCCAGCACCGCCATCACCTCGCTGGCCACGGTGATGTCGAACTGGCAGGAGCGGGTGTGACCCTTCTCCGTGGGCGACTGGCCGACCGTGATCTTACGCAGGAAACGGTCGTTGGTGTCGATCACTGGGAGATGGAGGGAGGGAGGGTCAGGGGTTGGTTCATTGCCTGGGCCGGTTGAAGAGGCTGTATGAGCTGAGCGAGAATCAATGATTAAGACAGTTCGAGTACATCGTAGAACGAGCGCTATTGGCAACGGGACTGTAGTCGATTTCACAGCCAGTTAGATAAAAGATAGATATTATTGTCAATATCAAGCGATGTTAACACACAAGTAGTCGCACTTCACAGAGGGCTGGAACTCCCCAATAACGACACCATTCCATCCCTGGACTCCCCGACCTGCCGTTCCCCTTCGCTGCTCCTACCGCACTGCTGCCTTGCTGCCAGTGATCCCCGATCTTATGCCCTCTCCACCAATCCCCTTCGGCAAAAACCCTGAATTCTAGGGCCTAGCCAATCAGAGATCACCAACACATCAATAAGTCAGGCTCCTTGATCTGGTTGCCATGGCAACATAACAATTGTCACGAACTTCCTAATTCCGAATTAACACTACACTCCTCCCTGATCATAAATGATCACAACTACATATATCTCGGGTCTGCCGCCTCCTCGTGCTTCTCCTCAGGGCCGGTGGTGGCTCCGCTGTGCGTGTTCCATTGAGACCAGTCCTTTCTACTTGCGTCAGTCCTCCGTCCCTATCTGCTTGAGCGTCCTCGTTTTGCGCGAAACTGTCCTCTTCCACTTCTGTTTCGTCTGGACCGTCTGCGTCCCGCTCGTGTCCATGCTGTGGCTCTGAGTCATTTTCTGCTCCTCCCAGAGCTCTTCTGCGCTGCTGTACTGAGATCAGCAGCGGCCCGTCGTCACGGTCGCTGTGCGGCGCTGGAGCGGCCGCCCGATCCGGGCCCTGGTCTGTGACGTGGCGCAGATCTCTGACGTGTCTCGGAATGCCGTCCACTTCAACCGATTGAGCGGACAGCACTTGCGTCACCGTGCCCTTGGCGCTCGGTACATCGCATCGCCTGCTAGGATCCTTGATCCACACCCTGTCGCCGATGCTGAACCGACAGGATATCACCTGCCCGGGGCTCTGCTCATCGTCTCCACCAATTCCGCGCACTCGAACCTCGTACGAGTACACCATGTTCGCCGGTGCAGAGCCAGCATCCACATCATCCTTCGGTGTGATGTTGTACAGGTTGACAGCCTCCATGACGCTGCAGCCTGAGCGTGCGACGATGGTCTTCACCGTTCGATGGCACCGCTCGGTGATGCCGTTTCCACTTGGAGAATGGGCACATCTGAAGATGATCTTGATGCCCCACCTCTCTGCAAACTCGCAGAACGCGGAGGCTCGAAAGGCTGGGTAGTTGTCGATCAGCAGCTCCTTTGGCGCACCTCGCTCCAGGAAAACCAGCTCGAGCTGCTGAATCATGCTCCTTGCGTCCTGACGAATCAGCCTCTTCCAGATCGCGAAGCGTGATGGTCCGCAATCTATCATGCTTAGATAGTGACTTCCTTGCACGTGCGTCACGTCCACGCCCACTCTGAACCACACAGTCTCCACGCTCAGCTTGCCTCTGGGCCACGTAGCCGGTGCAGGGTCAATTGACTGGCACTTAATGCAGCGGCGCACCACGCCTTGTACCATTTTTCGCGACACTGTTGGCGACTTTCTGCGGCAGAAGTACAGGGTGCGCCGAATCCCAGGGTGTCCGACTATCTCGTGGATGCGCGTCACCTCTGCTGACGTCAGTTCCCCGACAGCAGCACATACCGGATCACCGACTTCTTTTCTTTTCAGCCACCTGTTAGGCACTCGGGTCAAGCTGTCCGCTTTATTTTCTGCAGACGGCACGAAGTGGACGTCTATTCTGAGGTCGTACTCCTCAGCGATGGAAGTGATCGTTTGAAGACGTCGGCGGATCAAAAGCTCACTGGCCGCTTTCGTTTTGATCCGAGCCTTCCCCGATAGCGCGTCAGACAGCCAGTGGAATACGGTTTGCGAGTCGGTCATCAAACGGATATCCTTCATATCCCACGCTACCGCCAGGTTCAGGCCTTTCAGGACTGCTTCCAGCTCTGCCAAATTGATGTGGCCGCAGTCGTCCTTCCTGAGCCAGCTCGCGTCTTCTATGACGTCACCGTTCACCTCCAGTACCGCTCCGAGAGCCACTGAGCTGGCGTCCACCCAGAGAGTAGCCGCGTCGCCAGAGACGTCCCATCGGCCGCGAGCCGGGTCGCTCTCCCGTACTCGGCTCACCATCTCGCTCATCATCTCCAAGACCTGGGGGTCTTCGACCGGATCATCCCACGCCGCCGTTACGGCATTGGCTCTTCTCTTCACAAACGAGGCGGCGACTCGTAGCCAGCCACAGACTGGTAGGTGACTTACCAGCCGCCCGCACAACGAAAATACACTTCGGCGTGTCGGGCGCTGCGGAATCTGTCCCATCTCATTGTCACGCTCCCATCTCAGCCGCTCTCCCTCCTCTCGGACACGAAGTCCGAGCACACGAGCTCCATTGCCACTCACGCGTTCTGCGGGCTTGCATTCGAGCCCATATTGACGCAGGTGGTCCTCAACGCGCTCGGCGCTGACCACACTCTCATCCACGAAGATATCGTCCATATATGGCGATGTTGCGTCACGGATCTTCTCGTCGTGGTTCAGCACGGTGGCGACCACCCTTTTCAGGATCTGTGGTGCTGATTTCAGCCCAAACCCGAGTCTGGTCAAGCAGTACCGTTTCCCTCCAAAGACGACCGTCTGGTACGTCCACAGCGATCTGTGAACGTGAATCTGGAGGTATGCCTTCTGCAGATCGATGAGTGCGACGTTTGTCCCCTTCCGCCGCCACTCACGCAACTTGTGGGCGCACACATCGGCGTCGGCCGTGTGGGTTGTCACGTACTCGTTCAGTTCGCGAAAATCCATCACAGGCCTCACTTTTTCTTTGTTGGGCTGAACGACTGCCATCAGTGGCACGGTTCCTCGCACAGGTCCATGCTCCTCCTCGTTGTAAGGTATCAGCCAGCCATTGGATACCCACTCCTCCACTTCCTCTTGATACTTGTCCCTGGCGGTCGGCGCCATCCGATACTCTGCTACCGTGTTTCTTAATTCCTTTGGTCCCTTCTCATCGTTCCACTTCCATGTTACAGTCCATTTTCGGTCTCTCTCGTTATAGTTGACTCTGAAGTCCGACTCATCGATTTCCATCACAGCCGTTGCTGTAATTGCAGCTTCTGTTTCGACGCCAAACTGACACTGCCTCTCCGACAGAACGGTCACGCCGCCGAGGGCTTTTATGCCGTCCATTCCCAGGATCATGTCAAGGCCCAGCGGCTTCTCTCTGACAACCAGCGAGTCAATGTGAGCCTCTGCACCATTGTCCAAACGCACCGAGACCTGCCCTACTCCGTCGCACTCGCTCCGCTCACCGCTCACAGTGAAAACACTCTCACGCTGCCGTTTCCAGTCGGTACAGGCTGAGGCGTGTACGATGCTTCTAGAGCAGCCGGTGTCGATCAAAACCGTGCGCTGACTCCCGTTTACTGACAAGCGCCGGAGCGGCAGGGATCCACTAACGCGAGGCCGGGAGAGGAGGCTGGCGCTGAGGCTTCCTCTCCGTTTCCGTTTCCCGGACACTTAGCAGCGAAGTGTCCGAACTGGCCGCAGCTGAAACAGGCTCCTCGGCTCCTCCCTGTCCGGCACTCTCTAGCCAGGTGACCAGTGCGCCGACATATGAAGCATAGTACCGGCCCCTCCCGCTTGGCTCCGCCGTTCAACATAGGCGCTTGGCCGGGCCGTTGGGCCACCGCGGCCACCGTCGTGTAGTCAGCCATCAGCGCACGAGCGCGAGCCACAATTTGAGCGAGATCCAGTGATTCCATTCGAGAACCCGACCTCAGCGCGTGACGCGTTTCTTCAGGCAATCCGGCTACGAAGGCACAGGCAAGGACGCCGTCGTTTACCCCTCCGGCCAGCCGTGACAGACGACGCAGGTCGGCTAAGTAGACGTCTACTGATTCATTCGCTCTGAGCCGGCGAGCCACGAACTGCTCGAACGCCGAGAATTTGTCGGCAGCAAAAGCGGTAAGCAAAGCTTCTTTAATCTTTTTTGCATCGTTTTTACTTTCTTCATCCAGCTGCTGGTACACGCTGAATGCACCTCCTGTGAGTCGCAGAGGAATGACGCTCTCCTGGCTTTCCACTCCTTTCAGACGGCACACCAGCTCCAATTTATCTATCCATTCAGCGATGTCTTGAGAAACTCCATCGAATTCTGGTACCAAACGCAGATCCAAATCTCCGCCCCCTGTTCCGGCATCACCAATTCTCACTGCCATTGTAAAGCCGAAATAGCTTGTAGTCGATTTCACAGCCAGTTAGATAAAAGATAGATATTATTGTCAATATCAAGCGATGTTAACACACAAGTAGTCGCACTTCACAGAGGGCTGGAACTCCCCAATAACGACACCATTCCATCCCTGGACTCCCCGACCTGCCGTTCCCCTTCGCTGCTCCTACCGCACTGCTGCCTTGCTGCCAGTGATCCCCGATCTTATGCCCTCTCCACCAATCCCCTTCGGCAAAAACCCTGAATTCTAGGGCCTAGCCAATCAGAGATCACCAACACATCAATAAGTCAGGCTCCTTGATCTGGTTGCCATGGCAACATAACAATTGTCACGAACTTCCTAATTCCGAATTAACACTACAGGGACCATAAATGTGGCTGGAAAGTGAAAACAGAAAGGAAATACTGTTTAAGTACAGGCCAAAATGGCGCTTCGCCACAACATCATTTCCACACAAGAATACGAGCAATAGGATCAGCTATCCCACACAACCTCTCCCAAGTCCCACCACTCTGCTCGGATCTCCCGGCGCTCTCACCTCTCTGCCAGGTAATGGTATCCGGATCGATATCCAGTCGCACAAACCGACGGATCTCCTCCTCCGTCAGCGTATCCGGATCTGTTTTCTCGATCCCCAGCTTCGCCAGACGTGTGAGCTGGATCGGACTGAAGGTCCTCTTCCCGTCTTTGGCCGGCACTAGACGGCCGTACAGGGCTGCGTCGGTCTGAGTAGCCTCGTGAAACATCCTGGCCTCTAGCTGGGCGGCCAGCAGGTTGTTGGCGGCCGTGATGGCGTGGATGTCGCCCGTCAGGTGCAGGTTGAACTCCTCCATCGGAATCACCTGCGAGTAGCCGCCGCCGGCAGCGCCGCCTGGTGGTGGAGCGGGGAGACACGGTGAGGGGTTAGACCGAGTTACGAGGTTACGGAAAGCGCGGAGGCGGGAAAACGCTAGGAGAGGCAAAAGCTAGAGATAAAAAGCTAGCGATGGAATATGCTCAGGTGCCCCGCGATACAAATTAAGCGGGCGTACCAAAGACATCGAAATAACAGCCTCATTCCCAGATCAAGTGCCCTCACCTCAATTCATTCTGATCCTAAAACTTAGGTTGATCCCTTTTCCAGCTGAATGTTTCACAATGCGTGATTTAAGGCTCCTCGACCATCATTGAAAGAGAGTGTTTACTCCCAGAGCGATCTCTCGATCATCTTTGAAACCGAATGTCTACTTCCAGAGTCGTGTTACCTTTGATGCCGAAGGTCGGTCCCTGGGACGGCTGGCGTACGCAGGCGAACACGTTACGCCTCAGTTCGGCGCCGAGAGCCTGTGACAGGCCGATGGTCGTGGTGCTCTTGCCTTCCCCTAGCGGCGTCGGCGTGATACTGGTGGCGATCGGCGGTGTCAGTAGGTGGCGGTAGTGTAGCACGTAATATATGATGCCGAGTGTGTCAGACAAGGCACTAGGCAGGGTAAATAAACGAGCGATTGTGATGAACCGAAACTCGTTCCAAGTAATTCCGCAGCAGACTGAGACTGCAGATGAGACACACACACACAAAAAAAAATCAAATTACTAAATAATCGGGTCATTTTGCTAAGCAAAAGGTCGGGTACCTGTGATAGCGAAATAGCTCGCACGATCAATGAACAACACAATACGAGCCATCGCGAAACAATCACGCTATTTTCCAAACACTCATCATCTTCCAAGACCCCGTACACCTAACACCCCAACCCTCTTCCTCTCCCCGCCACCTACCCTCCAACGACCACATATTTGCCGTCGGCGCGGTGCTGCAGCCGCTCCAGTACAGAGAGCGCCACCTTGGCCTTGGTCTCGCCGAACAGGTCGAGCTCGGACGGCAGCAGTCCGACGGTGGAGCCCAGCTCCGAGACGGGCCGCGGCCGCTGGGAGCGGCTCACCGCGATGTCGCTGTTGGGGGGGGAGGGGGTTAGGGGAGGGGTGCCCTTTGTGTCTGATTACACGACGCGGCCGCTGGGAGCGGCTCACCGCGATGTCGCTGTTGATGGGGAGTGGGGAGGTTAGGGGAAGGGGTAAGCTTTATGGCCGTGGATGTGAGGGAGGAGACTTATGTCCATTCAAGTTAGGGGAGGACGTAACCTGTGTCTGCGCAGGTCAGAGGGTGCAGCCTGGGCTGGATGAGTGCATTGGAGGGCGTGGGGTGATGCTGATGGTCTGAATGGCTGATTTTTTTTTTAATGAGTTCAAAGATAACGGACTCATTTAGCGTATTCTAGTGAATCTCCCCGGTCGAAAAGAGAGGAAACAAACTGCGTGCGACCCAAACACGACAATCGAGCATGAACCAAACATTACATACAGTCCGGTACCAGACCTTTGTAGAAATACTCGAGTCTTGAGTGACTGACTAATAGACTGCCTGATCAACTGACCTGGGCACGGGGCTGAGCGGCTCGATGGTGAGCGGCTCCAGCTCCCAGCTGTCCCGGTGCTCCCGCTCCACGGCCAGCGCCGCCGCGCGCACCGTGTTCTGCATCAGCATCGCCACCTAAAGAACAGCGCATAGATCAGGTCAGGAGTGAGGAAAGGTCAGGGGAGGGCGGACAGCATCACATGTCGCGGAGAAGACGGCAGAGCGCTGCACAGGGCAGGTCAGGGCAGGCAGTCTTCAGAGGTCACAGAAAAGATGAGAGGGAAGCTCAAAGGGAAGGTCTCAGGAGAAGTCAAAAGTCAGATCATGAGAATTCAGTCTCGAGACACAAAATCAACATCCATTACGTGGCCTTGACCACATTAACAACTATCTGCAACACACATACAGCGGTGAAGTGAGTATCATACCGTCATCGGTCCGACGCCACCCGGCACGGGTGTGATGAAGGAGGCCCGTTTGGCCGCCTCGGCAGTATCCACATCACCCAGCAGACGGTGGCCAGACTTCTTGGTCTCATCTGACGGGGAGAGAGGTCGGGTCAGGGATATAAGGGGTCGGCTAGGGGGCACAGGGTTAGGTTCCAGCAATTGATGTCGGCCATGATTCTCCTCAATTATAAAAAGTTGAGCTCAACAATTTATTTTGGCGGTTCGCTTCTTCCATTTACAAATTTAGCAAACCAATGTTTTAATAATTTTTAGCGTGCGAGCATCGGACAAAAAAAAAAAAAGACTGCGTATGCCCGCATTATTTCCTACTGTCATGTTGTCCCTTCACCAGACTACCCTCTCAAGCAGCCCGCCGACTTTAGTCCGCTTATGAGTCCTGACTCTAGATGGGAAAATCGGTGGGTGTCAACTGTCAACCGAGCATAGGTGGATGTGATTGAGTCCGACTCATTCCTCCAATCAGCTGAGCAGGGTGGGTGTGTCGGTGGCCACCTCCCGCTGCATATGTTTACCATTGAGGACGTGTCTCTCGCCCGGCCTACCAGGCGCCGGGGGACGGGGCACGGTGTTCCGCGTATAAACACTGGCCGGTTCAAGGTCGGATGGTACCCCAGCCTGGACACGCCCACCAGAAGGGAGGAGGGGTGAAGTGCGGCGTACGAAAGGAGGTATTTTGGCGTATGTTTCGCGTTCGTCACTGAGCTAATCAATGGATCATTGTACACATCAGTTTGTAGATTAGTGAGAGGTACGATCAGAACACAGACAGAGCCGTCGCTATCCCGCAAACTGTCTATCTAAGATGGTGTCAATCGGTCCTGTCTAGTGCATTGCTCGACTAGGGTACCCCGACCCGCCCGGTCTCGTCTGACAAACTGTCACCCTGGGGTAGCCGGCCGCCCAGTCCGGCGCATCGCTCACCTGGGATGGCGTTGATGCCGCAGTCGATCACCACGGCTCCAGGCTTGATCCAGTCGCCTTTGACAAAGTGCGGCTTGCCGATTCCCACCACCAGGATATCGGCACGCAGCACCTGAAACGCAGGGATGGATGGGAAGTTGGTTGGTTTGGTTTGGTTTGGTTTGGTTTGGGACAAGTCGAGAGCTTGACAGATGATACCGCAGCATGACACACGGAGGAACTCTTGTCCATAGAGATATATATACATAGAGATGACATGCACTCAAAGTCGCGGAATTCCGTTGGACCTTTAGTAAGAATCTGCGTTCAGAGCTCGTGCACTTTCAACAAAACAGGTTTTAGATGGGAATGTTTTACCCGAAAACTTTTTATCGCCGAGATCGCGGCAAGAATTGGCTCACATTTTGGCTTACTTTCTTTCATTTGGTGGCTATACAATATTAAGTTTCGATTGCCACATTCGCCATCAAGTGAACGGATCTCATAATTGGTATATGTTTTCAGGGTATATTGAGTTAAGGCATGTTATGCTTCATGTTTGCCTCGGTTTCGCCCTTCAGGTATGGTGTACCTATTTCGTAGATGAGTCAGCACGTCTGTTTCTATGATTTGTACTCGATTTCACGTCTGTGTATTTTAATAACTTTTACATGTAGATACCATATTTTTATACTTTTTCTCTACTTCATTTTCGATATACCCCGAAGTCTGTCGTCCAAGGTTGTATACATCCATGGGTGTCGATTTGTATACCTTTGGGGGTGCTGCAGCACCCCCAATGCTCAAATGAGCACCCCCAATGGTTTTCCGGGCACCCCCGAATGTATTTATAGTCACCGTGCCCGAATGTTCCAGTTAGCACCCCCAATGATTTTGTCCCTCAATAACTCCCACTAACTCTGCTTGAAGAAAATAATTGGTTCTGCAGTATTTCACTACTAAAACTAAAACAATTACACAACTTGCAATGCATGAAATAAAGATGTAAAGAAAAGAAAAGTTAGTTTTAAGAAGAAGGGCGAAAAAAACGGTAAGTTGCAAAGACACTGGTGTGGGTCCGTCGTACACGGGTGTCGGACCCTTAGAGCTGCTGGCGCGTACCCTTTACAAGCCGGCAGGGGGCTCCAGAGACCGGCGACGGGCCCTCAGAGGCCGACAAAGGGCCATCAAAGGCCGGTGGTACCTTAACCCTAGAACGCCTAGGGGGGGTTGTATCAACCCCCCCCCCCTGAGGTTTTTTTCGAAGTGCATGCACGCTAAACAGCTTGTCGTAGCGGGCTGAAATTTTCAATACCCTCTGGGGCAACCTTTGCGCATCTTTTGCCGAAAAAAAATTGATCGGGTCATGTCAGGTCACGGAGTTATGACGTCATAAGAGGTACAGCCTCCGGCCGACAGTTACCAAACGTGTCCGCCGAATCCCTAGGTTTTCTGCCGGTGATACCCACATTGTTTGATGGATCATGATGAAACTTCCCATGCATGTTGGGGCAAGCATTGGCTATCGTGTGGTGCAAGAAAATTGACCGGGTCAGGTCAGGTCACGGAGTTATGACGTCATAAGAGGTACAGCCTCCGGCCGGATTTTCACGAAGTGTGTACCGAGTCCCGAGGTTTTCTGCTGATGCTATCCACATTGCAGTGGATATCCACATATCTTTTCTGAGTCGTTACCTACAGTATTTATAGCGGAGCAGTGGTCAACAGCCGACGAATCGGGACAAACACCGGAGGGTGATGTGACACCATATCACTCATCAGCAATAGGCCTCTTACTTTTATAGGGTAAATACACCAAAAACACCATGTATGATGCAGAATTGAGTGGGGAATACGTTGTTGAAGGTTTGAAGTTAATATCTCTCACCGTTTTGCCGCAATCGTTGCGCAAAGTTGAAAAAGTTTGATTTTTTCGGAAAATTTGACCTTTGACCGGTCATAAGTAGGTCAAATGTTGACCTAGGACCAAAAAATATACCACCAATCGCGAGATCTCGTTGAGAGCAATCCGTTGGTTTTTTCCGCTAAGCTCTACGACCTTCCGTTTCGAAACGCCAGGGGGGGTCGTAACAACCCCCCCCCCCTGGTCGTTCGTGTTATGAGAAAATGGCCTGGTCGTGCGAGGGTTAAGAAACCCTGTGGGGTCGTCTTTAGAGACCGGCATGGGCTCAGCGCCGATGGGGCCCTCAGAGTAGCCGGTGTGGGGCCTTCAAATGTCACCGGTGGGTGGCTGTCACATGCGCACTTGTGGGGCCTTTAAAAGCTACGATGTTGGGCCCCCAGAGCCGCCGATATAGGGCCTTAAGAGGCACTAGTGTGGGGCCCTCAGATATGGCAATGTGGGGCCCTCGGAGCCGCCGGTGTGGAGGGTTCACAGTCGCCGGTGACGGCCCTCACAGGCGCCGTTGTGGGGGCTCTCAGAGACACTGGTTTAGGGCCATCACAGGCGCGCGTGGGGCCCTCAGAACTGCTGTTACGGAACGGACCCTTCATAGGCCGACAAGAAGATATTAAGAGGTCACCGGTGCCTTCAGGAGCCTTGTGGGGTTCTCAGAGACTGGTATGGTGCGCTCAGACGCCGCTGGGATCCTCCGAGTTACCTGTGTGAGATCGTCAGGGTCGCTGGTAACTGACAAGGGCCCTCAGAACCGCCCATGTAGGGTTTTTAAAGCCATTGGTGTAGGGCCTCAGAGTTAGGGGTGTGTGGCCCTTAGAGACGCCGGTGTGCGCTCAGGGGCGCCGGTGAGGGCCCTCACAGTCGCCGTTATAGGGGCCCTCAGAGAAATGGGTGTGGGGCCATTACAGGCGGGTGTGCAGCTCCTAGAGCTGGCCCCCTATAGGCCGGTTAGGACCCCCAGAGGCCGGCAAGTGGGCCTCAGAGGCTGGCTTGGGGCCCTTATGGAGATCTCAATGTTGGTACTTGTGGGCCCATGAGGTGTTCTTACGAGCCCTGTGGCCTGTGGGGCCCTACTTAGTCCAAATATGGCCAACGTGGACCCTCAGCGGCCAATTGGCGCCGCAGGGCCCCTCAGGCCCGAATAACCCGAGGGGCCCCTGAACCTGATGGGGGGGGGGGGGGCATGTGCCTCACGGGCCCACCTGGCTACGCCACTGACTGGAAAATCGTAAACCCATAAATATCGAAATGCGATCACCTGTCATTATCAGAGATTATTGTGATCGTCTGATTACCGCCAGAGCTTCGTAGCTACCGTTCCCTCCGCGCAATATCCGCTCCTGCGGACCGCAGGGGCTGCTGCATCGGTGCTAATCGCCGTCATCGGTTACTGTCGCCTTATTACCGAGGTGCCGGGGCTGCAACCAGCTGCCGGCAAATGTACGACTTTTTTCGGAAAGATATTTATGTAATAAGGTAGCCAAGTACCTACCAGGACGAGCAGAATGATGCTGAAGAACGTTCAACCTTTGGGAAATATTAGTGGAAATCCCGGGATTATCAGTAGGTACCTTATGGGGATACCCAACCATGCCTTGTATGTACGGTTGTGCCCCATGGCAAAGCTGCAATCTTTCACCCGGTGCAGGGGTTGAGCACCCCCAACCATTTTGAAAAATCGACACCCCTGTATACATCAGATTCGGAACCGCAGCATGTTTCTCTGCATCGCTTCCAGAAGCACCGGAGCGCTCTTGATAAATCGAAAGAAGCCATACTGAGACCGGTGGACTAGATGCCCATTGCATGTGACCGACTTTGCTCTCTTCATTTCAATCCAGCATTGGTATCAAAATGTGGCTCCAAAGCTCGACTACTGGAATGTGCCGTTCCAAGGGTAGCGGCCTACAAGAACAAGGTGGGACAACAGCGTCACTCGACCACCAGTACGCGCTGCCGAGTGCCGCTAACGCAACCTGGACATCATGATGACAGGGCTGATGCCGACGACAAGAAGCGCAAAAACTCAAACAAACGGGAAGTACGGCTCAAACAAACACTGGCATTAGTTCTGAAAAGCCTGGAGGCTGGAAGAGCGATGCGTGGTGAATGCAGAAAAATCGACCCTGTGACGTCATGAAGAGGGCTAGGATCCAATTTTTACTCCAGAAGATGTCCAACTGATGAGGGGTAAGGTACTGAAATTTTCGCCTTTCTATCCCTAAGCGTTTGGGAGCAGTACTGCAAATATTCGCCAGGGGGAACGCCCCCCCCCCCCATTAACCCTCGCCCTGGCAGGGCATTTTTCATAACACGGCCTGGCAGGGAAGGGGGGGGGTTGATGTGACCCCCTCGCGATTGGCTCCTATGGCACCTAGAAACACCAAATTTGGTAGGTAGGTGGGCGCCCTGGAGTTCTCGCCCCTGTGAAAATTTGGTTGCTCTAGATCAATATTTAGGGGGGTTTTGGGGGTATAAATGTAAAAATTTCGCTAAAAACAGGTCAAAAGTTTTTCGCTTATAACTTTTGATCTAATTACGATAGAGAAAAAAAGCACCAGTGAACTCAGCACGTCAAGGCGCGTCGAATGATATACTTTTTTGCTCGCTTAACCCTCGCCGGACCTATTGGTTTTCTACATACGCGCCGGCCGAGGGGGGGGGGGGCGGGTACGACCCCCTCGCCGTTTCGCCCCTGGTGGAGCTAGCGCATCGCGGAAAAAACGAGCGTGTGCGCCGTTACGAGACGCAGAGATTGGTACCCGATTTTAAGGTCCTAGGTCAACCGGTGACCTCTGAGGTCAGGTCAAGTGCCCCAAGGTACGGTTCAGTTTTTGGTGAATAACTTCGCAAAAAAAGGCCACAGAGCGCCGATTTTGGCAGCATCGTGTTTGCCTCGCTCAGGCGCGTCGAATGATATACTTTTTGTCCGGGTCAGGTCAACTTGGGGTGTTGACCTCAGGTCAAGGTCAGGTCAGCACCCCCAGGTCACGAAGCTGGTCGAAAGAGGTCATGCTGCATATCATTCGATTCGGCAGGCCTTCCTGAGTCCATTGGTGGCTTTCCCGACTCGCTAGCTCAATTTGATCAAGAGTTATTGACGAAAAACTAATATGACCTTGATGACGTCATAAATGACGTCACGCAAGGTCAACATTGCAAAAGTGACGCATCTAACCTTGCAAGGAGTGCATCAAATCACGATTCTGTGTGCTTGAGATAGTTGTAGATCGTTCCCGGCGCCAGAATAGCAGTTTTCATTTTTCCCCATTGACATATAATGGTGAGGTCACGAAAATGACCTGACCTCATATGACCTTCAGGAAAAATCCGAGATATTCAAGTTGTGGGACTCATAATGGATACTAGATCCTGCAAGTTTCATTTCCCTGTGACATCTCCTCTGGCAGTGAGGGAGTTGCAAAGTTGCGACATCTGAAGACCGTGCAGAGGTTCACTTATGACGTCATAGGTCAGTGACCTGACCTGACCGAAAAATGCGGTTGGTGTCAAAAGATCCGGCTTGGATCAAAGGTAAAGTATGCCAAGTTTCAGCTCTCTATCGCCAGCGTGTTCGGAGCTATCGCGAAAAAAACCCTATGGGGGGGGCGGCACCCGCCCCCCTCGGCCGGCGAGGGTTAAGTGTACTTAAAGTTTTTCTTAACCCGCGCCGTGCTGGGGGGGGGGCGTTTTTACGCCCCCCCCCCTCAGGTTTTTCGCGAATATCTCAAAAACGGCGGCGCGCAGCGCCGCCGTTTTTGGTACACGTGTTCCTACATCATTTCTGCACATGTTGTGAAAATTTCAGACCTAGGCCGTTCAAGGTCAGGTCACCAGGTCGCGTCAAGTGACCTTACCTCAGAAAAAGTTCAAAGGCTCGCTATAGCTACACCGACTGAACGATCACTTTGAAACTTTCAGCGATTGATATGAGTAACAGTATGTATAAAATGTATATCTCGGATTTTTTATATCTGTGACCTAAGGTCAGGTCAATTTTGCGACCTCTCCATTATAAGTCAATGGGAGAAAATTGAAATGCGCCTCTTTTGGACGAATATCGTTCAAAACGCTCTCAAACATCGGTTCATAGGTAAACATGACACACTGAATAGGAAAAATGCACCTGTGACCCCTCTGTGTGCCCCTGAGGTCATCTCAGGTCATGAACGGTCGCCAGCAGTTTTTTGGCTATAACTTTTGATAGAGACGTGCTAGAGCGGTGAAAACACGTCAGATGTGTTCAGCTCGACGATACGGATCGACTGATATGCAACATGACCCTTTTCGGTCAGGTCATGACCTTGACCTGTGGTCAAATTTTCAAAATGACCTTTCAAGGTCAACAAATAGTTCATTCGACGCGTCTCGACGAGAGGAACACGATGCTGGCAAAAGTAATGTCATGGCGCTTATGAGTCAAAAGTTATTGACGAAAAAACGTTTTTCGTAAAAACGGCTATTTTTGGAGTTTTTGCCCTCTGGAGGCTAAACCGTTGACCTGAGGTCAAATCTGAGAACATTACTCAGAAAGGTCTGTAAAAGGGCTATCGAATGCGCTTTTCCGCGGCGCTGTAGCTCTATCGGTTCCCGAGATAGCCGTTGGCAGTTTCCAAAATGTTGAAATAGTCAACATTTTACCTTTGGTGACCTCTGGTGACCTGACCTTTGACCTGACCCAAAAAATGACCGAAGTGTTTTCGTCCTTATTTTTGACGCTCTTTCGATTGCCGCTTACCGCGTGTCGCTACGTGGCCCAGGAGCCGAGTTAGACGGGGGGGCGTGAAAACGCCCCCCCCCCCCCCCCCAGCACTCGGCGGAAAGTTCAGGCCACCAGCACGGCGCGGGTTAATTTTTAAGTGAACTTTAACTAATTAATGAAGTTCAAGTTAACCAAATTGCATCATATGGCATATCATTCGATTCGGCTGATCACCGGGAACACAATGACACCATTGTTTAAGCTCTAGCGTCATTATGTGCCAAGTTATTGGCAAAAAGGTCATTTGACCTCAGTTGACCTTATTTGACGTGACCCAAGGATAAGTACACCAAACAAAGAAGCACCAAGTGACCTGCTGTTAATTACTATGGTTTCAAAGCACAAAAGTGATGGAACAAAGCGGATATCTCCAGTATTTTCCGAATTTAGTATTTTCCCACAGGCTGAACATTACGACGTAATGACCTCTAACTGACCTCAGGTCAGTGACATAAAAAACGAACTATATGTTATACAACTCGGTGAACTTAGCACATCCTGAAAGTTTGAAGGAAATCAGTCCAAAACTGTGAGTTTTACAGGTGCAAAAAGAAAATTGAAAATTGACCATGACCTTGTACCGGTTTTTCTGACCTGGTGACCTGACCCAAGGTCACCCGGACTTGAAATTGTCAGGTCATATGTAAAAAGGTTGCCCCATAGGCTGTGCCAAATTTGGCGGCGCTGCGCGCCGCCGTTTTTACGCTATCTTCGAAAACCCTTAGGGGGGGGGGGTTGCATCAACCCCCCTGCCGGGGCGAGGGTTAAGGCCCGCGAGGTCAGTGCAGTTCATCAGTCACACATACGCATATATCACACTCGCATATTTCTGTAGTTCTTGTCAGCTAGGGGAATGTACCTGTATATCAGAGCGCCAGTTCGGGAGAGGGGGTGAAAGTTTTTGGATGGAAATGATCAGCCATGCTCTGCGGCACAGCATATCTCCAGTCACAAATCACTAGTGCCATCTGACTAGAGGGAGAAATATTAGCATTACGGGCGCTGCGGCGCAGGATATCTTCAGGCGCGCATCACTAGTGCCATCTAGAGGGAGAAATATCAGCACACGGGAGCTGCGAAACATGTATACTGCATAAGTATGCATGTACAGTCGGTGGCAGTTGTTATCCAGCACCTTTTCTTTTTCGCATTGTTTTCAGATCGCCCATAGGCCGGGCCTGCGTTATTTGAAAATAATACGTAAAAGGTATTGGATCGAAACTGCGTCCGACTGTATTCAGCGAAGTCTTACAATATAACCGCACGCAGGACACCTATGTACTTACAGTATACCTACTGCCATTTCAACTGTCTCCAATATTGAAGACCCCGACTCAATTTAGCACATACTTATTGGATGTTCAGAAAAGTGTGCTTAAAAAGGTCCAACGAAATTCCATGACACCAAGTTCTTCAGCATAGGCATGTCATCTCTATGTATATATATCTCTATGCTCTTGTCCTGAGGCGTTTGACATCAGCTACTCGAGGTATCTACTGAAATTACCATATGCCACTAAAACTCAGTGAGCACTGTAAGGGAACAGTATCGTGATTGAGACGTTCTCATCAAATTCGTTTAAAAAAGTTCGACTTACTGTCAATACAGGACATATGCCGATCGGAAATTCGAACCGGTCACCGTTCCAGTACGGCAACGCTACGGTCGATAACCGGCTATAACCAGTATAAACCAAACACACCCGGACAAATCTGGTTACATCTGGTATCGCGACGGGCTCTCGGTACTCTCACATGATACGCGACACTCACACATTTCTATTATTTTTTCGCGCATAGTTTCATGTGGAGAATCTGGGTTGCGGTACTCATACGTTCCTATACATTTTCGGTGCAAGGTCATAAGCCGCTGGGGATTCGGTACTCACATGTTCCTGAATGTTTTTGGTGCGCGAGTGGCAGGTTGACACGGTGGCGTGGTGCCATTTGAGCAGCTCTGCCATTGGCGAGCCGACGATCTTGCTGCGGCCGAGCACTACGGCCTCGGCGCCCTGGATCTCCACACCGGCCCTGTCGACGGACGGTGTGCGGTGGTGACGGATAGCTCACACTGGCGTCGAACAAATCGGCATTTCATTCGTTCTCTTTCGACAACACCGGGAGCTCTCAGGTTGGTAAGACGATAACCCCCCGCAGGTTATTTCACGGGTCATTGACGTCCAAGTGAGCACTAAACCATCGAGGCTCACAGCCTTTAACAACTGCCCAACAAGTCAACCGATGCATACGTTAACGTAAAATAAATAAAAACGATCAGGAAAAAGACACCATGACGACATATGAAGTCTACTCCTCTCAAATCAATATCGAGTTTACTTCGCCACAAAACTGACACTGTACTTACTTTCTGATGAGTTGGATACAGCCCCACGGTGTGCAGGGCAGGTGTCCGTACCGCATCTGGCCGTGGGACAGACAGCCGGCGTTCACTGGGTGAAGGCTGCGGGTCAGAGAGAGGGGAGTCAGCAGAGAGTCAGATAAGGGTCTGAGTGAGGCCAGGGAGGTTAGAGGGAGGTCACCAGTGAGGTGACCTCTCTTCTCCACCTTTCACATCCTGTCTCACTCCCTCATTCTCCAGCCTTTCTTTGTAGCGCAGTCCCTTCCCACCATGCACCGCACCGCATCATACCACGCCGCATCACTGCTCCCTCGCGTTCCCTCTCCTCCCTCATCGCCATAATCCTCCCTCCCTCCCATCCATCCCCACTCGCCATCACCGACTGACCCGTCCACGTCCTTGTCGGGGTCGATGGCCTCGATCACTCGGTCCTCGCTGATGGCAGTGTCCGAGTCCAGGGGCAGCTGGACGATCATACCGTGCACGCTGGGGTCCTGGTTCAGGCCGTGGATCGCCTGCAGCAGCTGCGCGGCGAGATGGAGACGGCGGGTCGGCGCGGTATGACAAGGCAAGGTCGGCAGGACGGTATATAAGGAGACGGGGGAGAGGGAGAATATAACCGCTAACAAAACATCCACGTATGCCGAGGGACCATACCAGTTCGAAATGTGTCCCTCGATAAAACGTGTCATTGCAGCCTGATATAAATGTCATCGGACCACGCAACACTGAGCGGGCATGGCGGAGTACCGGAGTTTGTCGCACTTGACGTGATCCTTATCTACACCATGATAGGCCAATTAGGCGACTTGAATCGAAGATCCCGATGTCCTGCCCAGTCTCCTCGTCAAAGCGGACCTCTTACCTGCATCTGCGTGGTGGATCTCGGCAGCTGAATGTGCCGCGCGTTGATGCCGATGTCACTCGCCGCCTTCACCTTGGCCCGGATGTAGACGTTGGAGTCCTCCCGGCCTCCCACCTGCAGGATGGCCAGGCCGGGCACGAAGCCGGGGTACTTGTTCTGCAGCTCCTGCACCTCCGTTACTAGACCGGCACGAACCTCCCTGGGGGGTAGGGGCGGGGTGGGGTGGGGGTGGGGGTACTGTTAACGGTGTCGATAACAACGCCGTCAAGTTTCCCAGTCGACTATCATATGTCATATGGAAGTTGTCGAAAATTTATTGATGGAGCAATAGTAGCTCAGTTGCCGGTCCCGTAGCTCATTTGGTAGAGCGTTGGACTCCACGTGGTGAGAGCACACGTTCCCGGTTATAACAGTCCGGGTTCGAAGCGCGACGGGCGCTTGACATTTATGGGCCTCCTGACAGGTATGGTTGCGGTTGGTCGCAGACCGTAGCCAGGCGAAGTCAGTGAGGGGAACGGCCGTGCGCGGCTATGTGCGCACGTTTACTTTGGACTCTAAATTCTGCCATATAACTGGCATTGCGCGATCGGAGGGTAGAAGGCAGGGTCACCGTAACAAGCTTCTCTTAGCGGTGGCTCTGTCCTTGTAAATCCCTCTTATCAAAAGGTTCGGACTAAATTTATAAAAAAGTATTATCAGTGTCGAGGTTTAGTTCTCAAAAGGCGCACGGAGACGACCGAAAAGTTTCAGAATATAGGTATCTCAAAAAGTCCAACGTCCGTGCAGAATTTGGCGCTCCTTTCTGCGGTCTACTTTGGTAAGAGCGGCATCCCGCGTCGGACGATATGTACTTACTTTGAGAGTTCGGTGCCGGAGAGTCGCACTGCCGCGCCGGTCTGAGCAGAGTCACCGGACGCCATCCTGAATCCTGCAACGGTCACACACTGAGTCTGAGCACCGGAGAACAGACCTCTCCGCTCTGAGAGCCACTGAGCGCTGCGAGACAGACGACGACTCACAGCCGGTCGGCCCGGTCCCGCACACAACAGTCGTCCACCGCGGACCGCACCGCTCGCAGACCCCCGTCCAGTGTCCGTCCCAGACACAGGCACAGCCGCCCACAGCCGCCGTCTGGGGACCGAGCGCGCCGCCAGCCGGCACAGCAGACCAGCCATCGGCCGGTGATAGAACGACGACCGCGCGCCGCGGAACGGGCGGACACTGGACGGTCGACGGCGGTCCTCCGGGCGACATGGGCCGGCCACCGCCGCGGGATGGATAAACAAACCGGCGTTGACCGCCGTGCAGAGACTGAATTGATGTGGAATGGGTGGTGCTCATGGAATCAGCACCAGGTGGTGGATAGAGTATGGTGGCTGGAGTATGGTGGGGGAATGCCACAGAAATAGCACTGAGGTTGAGACTTTGATGGAGAGAGAGAGAGAGAGAGAGAGAGAGAGAGAGAGAGAGAGAGAGAGAGAGAGAGAGAGAGAGAGAGAGAGAAGAGAGAGAGAGAGAGAGAGAGAGAGAAGAGAGAGAGAGAGAGAGAGAGGAGAGAGGAGAGAGGAGAGAGAGAGAGAGAGAGAGAGAGAGAGAGAGAGAGAGAGAGAGAGAGAGAGAGAGAGAGAGAGAGAGAGAGAGAGAGAGAGAGAGAGAGAGAGAGAGAGAGAGCACATGCATACAGAATGACAAAATCTTATTTTAGAGTGTGAACAGGGAGGGATAGATAAGTGAGCTGGATCCTTCCCCTTCTTCTTCTTCTGCTTCTCTGCATTCCCTCTGGTTCTTTCTCCCTTTCTCTCTTCCACTTCCCCACTCTCTCAACCTCTCACCCAATATCCCATCAGCATCAGCATCCTCTCTCCACTTCCATCTCTCCCCTCTGTAAATGCAAGGCTCATAGCTCAGCTGTTTTAACTTAGTGTAGGTACCAATCACAATGAAATGAATTCTTTTGATCGTGCATAAAAGCCAACTGCAGTCAGAGTGTTTAACAAGTGGCTAAAATGAGACAAAAACTCTTTGATACAGCACTTGCCATGGTTCCAGAGACAAAAACTCTTTGTTCTGTTTAACAAACTAGCATCATCAGCAATACTGAAAAATGGCATTTTGCATGCATGAATAAACACTACACTATCCCATCCAACAACACAATATCGGTTCTGTTCTCACTTACTTTGCCGTTGAGTTGCTTTCGTCGTTCCAGGTATGCAGTCCAGTTGCCTCACGACCCAGCGATGCGAGCCGTGACTGACTCTGGCTCAGTCGTTCGACAGATCGGGAAATCGGTCTGTGGGGCCCCCGCAGCGACTGGTCGACCGGACGTCTGCCGACACACGAGTCCACACGGAGTCCCCGTGGTGACCGGCGCGATCTCAAGGTCACGGGTCACCGCAGGGCGAGGGGAGGGGAGGGGCGGAGGGTGTTTGTTTTCATATGCACCCCGCCTGTTGGTGCTGCCACCTACATGGAAAGTAGCCAAGATAGCACATGTGCTGCCACCTACAAACCACAATTGTTCTCAGCCTATGGCATGCAGGTGAAGAAAAAAACGAATTACGAAAAGGCACAGCTTAGTGAAATCGGTCAGGACTCAGGATCCTTTCAGAAACAGTTATAGCGAGCCACACATGTATTTTAAAAGCCTCTGAAAGTAGCATGATGTGAAACTGAACCCTGAAGCCAAGGCCCTATATACCCCTGAAGCTTTGGTCAATAGAAAGAGAGGGGAACGCAGGAGCCCTGGTAAGTGGTACTATACAGGCTAGAATGGAAGCTTTCGACGTCAGAACATCTTAATCAATATCTTTAAAAAATAATTACCTGATTACCAGTTACCACATCATGCACTCGGATATCTACCTAATTATCTTCGATTCAAATTGAAATGCACTTACCCGCCCACGAGAACAGCTTCAATAATGGCGCAGTCATAGCACAAGGTAAAAGGTAAAAATCTAGCAAATAGTTGTGCAGTTAAGTTACGTCATAAGCTTCATCAGAGTAGAAAGTGTTGCTTTATTTTTGAATATAATTTTGTAAAATGCTGCATATAGTTATTCAATTGCATGTTGATGTTCTATTTTTGCTTAACGCACAAGTATAAGTTATTCTTGCTTTAAACTTCAATCAAAATGCAAATTATTGACGTCATATTGACGTCACATTTGATGCGATACGAGCTTCATGTTTTCATTCTATCGTTCTGCTTTAAGCACAACCTTGATCTTATTCATTACCATTTTGAAGATTTTGAAGAAGCTGTTGCATTTTGTTTTGGAAGGTTGGAAGGGTCTGAGGTGTGATGCGCTGGGCATGTTAGCGGATAGGGCTTTACCGTTTACGTTCTGTATGCAAAGCGGTCTTAAGGCAAAAAATTCAGGCAGGCGGCTATTTTTCTGTTTGTAAAACTTGCCTCGGGTTGACCATTTTATTGCTAATTGGGTTTAGAATCTGTGCTTGTGGTGTAACTGATTCTCAGCAATAAGTGATAGTATGAGCAATTTCCTTGATTAGCACCTATATGGTTTGTCACAATATGCCATATATATGGTGTTTTTTATTCAATTATGAGCATTGGGTGCAAAACAAAAAGGGCGATTTCAATTTCATGGCCACTTGATGGATGCATGCCACTGGATGCATGGCCACTTGTCTCCTCAGTCTGGCAGTGTGGCTTGGTCTGTATGTAGATATTTTTCAATATTTTTATTAATTTTTGCTCTGGTCTGAACAGTCAATTCTGATTGTTGACTGACTTTTGCTCTGACTCCGCAGGCATGATCGTAATCACTTTTCAGTGGTGCATTGCCATTAATCATGCTTGATTAATATATAACTCATTCTCTGGCCCAAACTGCCAATCCTTGTGCACCACTGTTTTGCCTCACTCTGCAGAATGTTTTACAGCAGTGTTTGACTCTGCATGCTGACTGAGAATAGTAGACTGATGTCACCCAGGCCCAAGTGTACAACTCAGGCCATGGGGTGTAGGCCTTTGTTGCTCAGTCCCAAACAGCCCTTTGAATTCAGACTCAATTCACAGATGGTTACCTTAAATGTCTGGGGTGCCAATCCAGGTTTGCTTGCTTTTTGCCACAAGATGTTTAAGAAATGCCTGGGCCAGGCTCCAGAGTATGTCAATTAAGCTTTTTTTGTGGAGGAATGCTGAGCTGTTGAGAGTCAGATTAGCTACCACTCAGTTTGTTTTCTGTGCCCATCTTTGCTATCATTACCCTGGTGCTATATTATACTCTGGGCCTGTGGCTTTGTATAGGCATTGACAAACATCTTTATTTGTTGTGGACTTGGCAGGAGGCAGAATCGAGCCATGGTTCTGCCTTATCAGTCACCTCTGCCCTCACGCATCTCATGCTCTCCCCCACTGTGTACAGCTGCGAGGACGTGCACAATGGAGGACCCCGACACCATGATCGGTCCCGTAGCGGAGGCTCTGGGCGTCACGCGCACGTGGCTGCTGAGCTCCGACGACCCCATGCCGGAGCGCATGGACCTGCCGGTGGGCCTGATGGTGGAGCTGATGGACGCTGCTGACGCCCTCTACCCAACCGAGGAGCAGCGCTGGCGGCAGGTTGGTGCGAGCTCTGGTGCAGTTAGAGGCTGGGCCGATGGGTTAAACGTGAATGGTGAGAAGTTCAAGGATGCGTATCCGCTGGGATTGCAGCAATTTCGCTATAGCTTGGTTTGAGTCGTTTTAATCATAATTGTGTACGGTTTCTTACAGTAAATGGCATTTTTCTTACCCGACGCTTCTCCCTCCGTGTGTTCCTTACGGTAAATAGATAGCGCTTAATTTACTCTACGCTTTTCCCTCTATCTGATCACATCTCCCCCTCTGACCCCTGACCGCCGTTTCCCCTGCCCCCCCCCCCCTCTGACCTCTCTGACGCGTCTCGTTCCACCTGCAGCTGCGCGGCTGGCTGTCGCGTCTGACGGGCCGGCCGCCGGCCGAGTTTGAGCGTGCCGCTCCTCTTATGGAGGCCGTGCGCCGTCAGTTCGCGCTCTCCCGCGACGAGGACCTGCAGGCGGTGACGGTCTGGCGGCGCGCCCAGCCCACACCGGCCGAGCTTAGTAAACTGCAGCTGACCGTGAGGCCGGAGAACGGGGCCCGGCTGCGGCGACTGGTCCAGCAGCTCGGCTCAGAGGAGGCCGCCATCGAGTTCCTGCTGCAGATGGATGACAATTGTGGTGAGTGGTGGCGAACGGCACAGGAGCACCGAGAAAAAGAGTAGTGTGTGTTGACTGGGCAGAATGAGTTGATAGTTGGTGTGCGTGATGTTTTGATGCGTTGTTTTGTTTCCTTTTTTGTGCGCTAGCCTCAGTTATTTACGCGTTTGGTTTAAACGGTCTAACGGTCTTTTACATCGCGAAACAAGTACCGCTTATTATTGTGTTATTAGACATTTAGGTGCTCGACGCACATACAGAGGATTACTATGCTGGACAATGGGCACATGACCAGTCAGTATCGTTGCTTCAGAAAATTCGCAGTTTCTCCCAGTAGAACCAAATAAATGGAATCGTGTCTCGATGACTGACTAGTGACTGTGTTTCACCCCGTCTGACTATATCCGCTCTGATTCACAGGGAAGGGCGCATCGCTGCGACGCACGCGCTGGCCGCCCAAAGTGCACTACGAGTCGAGTCGGGGTCAGGTGAAGATAGACGTCGGTACAGAGATGGTCTGCGTGGTGCTGTCCCAGTTCAAACCGGCCCCGGCGCCCGATCCCGCGCCGGAGCCAGAGCCGGAGACCGCGCTGCCGCCGCCGCCGCACAGCGCTGTCGAGGTGCGTGGGGTGCGGATGGGATGCCGCGGGAGGGAAGCTCGCTACCCTCCCCTCAAACGGTTTGGGTGGGTGGTGGGTACGGGAAGGCCTTCTTGCAGCATAATAAGGCTCTCTCTCTCTCAGTCTCTCCCTCTGTTGTGCCGGGCTCTAATATCGAGCATTTACGCACAGGTTCGGGGTAAGTCAATGAAGTCAGACACACACGCACAGCATCACATCATGCGACATTGGGACTGCTTAATGCCTTAGTTTGGCAAATGGGTGAGTAACACATTGAAACAAATGTAGGAATGTAACAGAAGTCAGAACTCAGAAGGGTACCTAGTCGTTCATGCGTTCTGTAGATATATGTCAGTCAGAAGTGGCTGGCCAAGGCAGCCTTGAATGAGTCGAGGGAGGTAGCACCCCACAGGAAACTGTGGGTGGCTCATCTTTTTATTACGATATTAAAATACGCTGGACGCTAGACATAATTTCTCCTCATCTGTTGCTCTCGATGCGAATTTGTACAGGTAAAAATGTCGGCGTACTTCCTCGTTTTCAGCACCGTCGATGGCTGCCGTCCCCCGCCATTTGTACCGTGTTGCTGACTGCCTCTCCCGCCCCTCAGGTGGTGCCTGCCACACCGAGTGTGCTGACGGTGAACGGCCACGCGGCCAGTTCCGACGAGCACTCAGCCGGCGGCGCGGCGCCGCCACTCCCCCTCGGCTCCTCCTCAGCCTATCAGACGGTGGTTCGAGACGCCACTCTGCCCGCCCAGATGTTCGCTGACGACGATCTGGCAGCCGATCAGTTCTCCGAGGTTCAGAGTCAGTTGACCTCTGTGTTGGACCAGCTGGGTGAGGACTCAAACCAGATGTCTGACGTGCCTCCTGCCCCCGGCTCGGCGGTGCCGGCGGATCTGATGGCCGGAGAAGAGAAGCCAGAGACGGTGATCACGCAGGAGACGACTGTGAGTGAGGAGATTCCCAGTCTTGATGACAGTTCGGCCTCTCTTGGAGCCGAGGCGGTGATGCTGGAAGGCGAGGAGGTTTCGTTGGGGGGACAGGAGGTGGCCCTGGACAGTGAAGAGGTGATTGAAGGACAGGATGTGACGCTTGAGGGAGAGGAGGTAGCACTGGAAGGGGAGGAGGTAGCGCTTGAAGGAGAGGAGGTTCCCCTTGAGGGAGAGGTGGTTCTGGACCAGGAGGTAGCTCTCGATGGTGAAGAGGTGGCTCTGGACGCCGCCGAGGGCGCCCTCGACTCTGAGGAGCTGTCGGCTGACACGGCAGGTCCTCTAGAAGACACCACCACTACCTCGTCCGACCAGGTGTCGCTACAGGCGGACACAGACCTCGGAGAGGGACCGTCCTCGGCCGAGCAGCTCACGGTGGTCACTGAGATCACTGAGGTCACTGAGGTCACCGAACAGGTCACTGAGCAGGTCGCCGAGCCGACGGTGGAGCTGCCCGAGCAGTTGATGGAGGCCGAGGAACCGGCTGTTGAGAAGCACATCGCCATCGACGCGGAACAGCTGCCGGACGCCGTCGCGGCCGACGCAGACGCCGCACAGGCGGACGAGCCGATGGTCGAGCCTCCCGATGAGCCGATGGAGGTGGGAGCGGAGGGTGGCGAGGCGCCCCAGGAACCTCCCGCTGTCTGATGGGTTGGATATCGGGATAACCGCCGCTCCGCCTGGGGGCGGGCGGTGTGTGAACAGTTGTGGGGAAGGCACAAACTCCAACCTCAGACATCTGGACTACCTGAACCTTCGGCTCGAACGAAGGGTCCGGTTCGCCGAACCTGGGGACATTCTGCCTCACTCCGAGAGGCAGTGTCGAAACGGCGCCGGGCCGCTGGCGGTGGGAGTCTCGTATCTGGGACGGGGATTACAGTTTGAGCAGGAGAATGCCACGAGGCCCAGTGTGCGTGAGTGCTTCCGTTGGTGTCGTGCGGTGAATGCGTTTTCCCATCGCGGTCCATAATGTACCCCGCCCCGGTGTGCGTTCCACAAGCATCATCTCTCTGCGTCCCGCGCGGGACGATGGCGTCGGCCGGCGGTGACACGGCGCCGCCGAACGATCATCTGTACCGGTACAGCCAGTTCATCAATCATTCAGTTCATCAATACACATACATCAGCGCAGGCGCGGACTGGTTTGGATTGGTTTAGGAGGTATGGTAACAAATGACAGCCTGCTCATCGAACCTCTTTACATGGTATTAAATATATTCATATAAAATATTTAGGCATTAACACAGGTCATTGGCGTCCTTTCTTTTACTGAAAGAGACTGATCAATACAAGGATCAATACAGTTTTGACTGCACTCAACAATAACAGCTCTCACTCTGCATAACCGCATACAGATAACGTCATGCCGGCACAATGCAGCGTTAGCTGCAATTCGCGCACCTTATGGCGGCGACCTGGCACACATTGGCAAAGTCCGGAGCTGTTCGAACACACGAAAAGGCGCAATCAGAATTATTGCTCACCGGCCAAACATCTCGGCATCATAAGACATAAACAGCATACACCGCTCTGCTTTCAATAATATCACCTTCTGCACGGAATACGCGGTGCAACTGAGACCACAATATCCGAACGTATCACACAAAAGGCGCGCTCTAAGTCTTTGCCATCGAGCGTTTAAATATGCCACATCCGAAATCCTCACCCAAATGCGGAAAGCAATTCGCACCGTTGTACCGGTATTGAAAACCGCAACTTCAAAGCAGGAAGTTGCTCTCCGCCCTCAGCGCATCCCAGAAGCACCCCAGCACGCCAAACCACCAACCACCACACAGTCACGTCTCCGATGCATCGAAAACTTCAACACAGCCCGTCCCGCTCACTTGCAGCACTTGGATCAGCTCACCCTTCTGCAGAGTGACCCTCGGGTAAGAAACGGGTCTCGTAAGCTCAGTCCAAGCACATTGATAGGTCCGCCCGCTTACCCCTCAGCTGACCGATAGCGCCGTCCTCCTGAGGAGCACCTCACGCGCCTCTTCGGGCGTCAGTCCGTCCGCACCGGCCTCAGCCAGTGCCGTATCGGCCGTCTCTGGACTGTGTTTTATGGTGTCCAGCAGCAACAGTGCCGAGCCGGTGGGTAGTGTGAGCAGCACTGTCGCCGCGAGGAGCGGTCGGAAGGCCACGGTCGGTCGCCGGGCGCCCTCAGGGTCGTCCCCGAGGTCAGAGAACACGGCCAGCAGGTTCCGCTCGATGTCAAAGCGGAGCTGCGCGGCGCCGCCCTCGTTGAAGGAGTTGGCCATTATTAGCTCGTCGTAGAGGTACTCGCAGAGCTGAGAGGCGAGGGCGTGCCATACTGAGTCGAATACGGAGGCTGCCAGCAGCCCGCGCAGCTGCTGCAGGCACTGTGTGAGTACCTGAGGGACACACGGGGTGTAGCAAGATTACTTTACTACTCGGGTGTAGTGCTTAGCGCCGGGTGCGCAGACTGTGAAGGCATCGTCTCGGAGTGGTAGGAAGTGGGCTGTGGGGGGAGGAGTATTACCGCGGGTTGGCCGGGAGGCGAGCCGAATATGTATGTAATTACGCATGGCAGCAGAAACCCAGACGGTTGTAAGTAATGTTTCGCCTATTCCGCTATCCCTCATCGACGCGTGGGTCATGGCAATACACAGGGGAGTCCAAGACTCAGCAATATGTTCGTACTGTCCTCGGCCAGATTAAAAAAGGCAACAAATTAATAGGAGCGCGTATCCCATTTTGTGTTACCTGCAGAATCGGACAGGCGGTTGGCGTAAGACTCGGAGAGACAAACTCGGCCGGCGAGGGCATGGCGAACCATTTGTCTTTGCGGTAGGGTCGGCTGCGAGCTTTCACCTCGAGTAGGATCTGTCGGTGCAAATCAGACAATAAGAACAAATCTGATCACTTCAGTATATCGACACGGATGGTACAAATCGGTCCCAGTCGGCGCGTGAACATTAAAGCACACACCCAAAACTGAGTTAAACTCAGACGGCACACACCATCTACGAAAAGAAGCCGGCTACATAAGCTTGACAAGAACCCAATGACAGCAATATCCCTCTTCACTCCACCGGGTCTAACCAATGTCCACGCAACTTCGTCGATATAATATTCTGATGACGATACAAACACAGCCACCCAGTCCAGACCCATGTTTTCTCACCTGATTCACGATCGCCTCGATGATGTCGTCTTCGATCCGTCCGAGCCGCTGGACGATCTCGTCGAACGCCGTCACATTCAGGCCGTCATCAGCGTCGTCCGGCGGCCCGCCGTCGCCGGCCGGGCCCTGCGTCGGCTCCGGCTCCAGCAGCAACTGCACCGTTCAGTATGGAACGGAAGAGTCAACGAACGGAGAGGCTAGGGTTGAGGTGAATGGTGAGTTATAGCCTCAGGTACGCGGCTGAGCCAGTGTTACCTACTTAACTTCCGTATGTATATCGCGTAACGACCTCAATAGCAAACATTACTTGTTCAAAATGCTGTAGAAGCCCTTCCAAGTATAATCAAGCGTGTATGCTTAAAGCCACGCAAGCGGTCAAGGCCGCTCGCGTGGCAGTGCCCCTAGCGGCCGAGTGCCGATTAAAGCTATGATCCACGATATCCAGTTTCCTCTCACCTGGTCCAGGGACAGAGTGGGCTCCTCCTCCTCCTCTCCCTCGCTCTCCTGACGCTCTGCCCGGCGCCCGCTGGCCTCTGCCGCCGTCAGTCTGCGGCGGAAGAACTGCAGGTGCAGAAACACAGGCTGCTCGCCCCACTCGGTGAGCGCTCGCCGCAGGTGGTGGGCCGTGTTCAACAGCGCGCAGCAACGCTCTCTGTTGGAGAAACGAGACCGGGGTCTGTTAATGTATTTGTTGGGGTTTTAGGGCGCGTTGACAGCAGGGTCACTATGCACCCATGACAGGCAGGGTCTGTGTCAGAAGAAGAGATTGGTTTCAACGCACGCACATAATATTTCTTCCGCACTTACGAAACAATTCTATTGGTAACTAGGCGACATAATACATTTCTGCTAAAAAAACAAACTGGTGCAGCTTAGTTGACAATTGCAATCACCAGTTACCGCTCGCCCTGTCAATATCCCGTAGCCTGTCACCATCCCGCCGGCTACTCACCCGAGGGGCTCCTGTTTCTCGTTTCCGAGCAGCTGCAGCAGGCGGACCCGCAGGTCGTCCAGAAGCTCCAGCTGCAGCTCCAGAAACTGCAGACGCTGACCGGGCTCCGGCAGCAGCAGGTAGCGCTCCGTCATGGCCTGCAGCATGTTCAGCACACCGTCCGCCAGCTGCCGGCAGCGGCAGGGTCAGCGGGGAGCGGTGGGAGGGGTCGCCAGAGGACAGTTACGATCATCAGCCGTAAGGTATGTCAGTGATGCACTGCACTGTCATCGTAAAAACGACTACGACAAATCTTTGTGGTCGTCCTCTAGACCTCTATCCCACCCTTAAAAAATCATTCCCTCCCCTTTGTTCTCGAATATCAACAATCCCACCATTTTCAGCCATCCCCATGCATCCAGCATCTGCTATTTTCATCCCTCCCTCCTGACCCCACTGACCTCTTCATCCTCCTTTCCTCACCTCAGTCACCCCTCCGTCCGCCTCTCCCTGCACCGCCCAGGCCGTCTCCGAGGCCATCATCTGATCCACGCGCTCCAGCGCGTACTTGCGCTCGATGGTCACCCAGCGGAGCAGGTACCCCGGCTGGCAGACGGCCAGAAGTGGACCGGGCTGCTCGCCGCCGCCCCCGCCGTATCCCAGCTGCGCCAGGCCCCGCTGAAGCTGCAGCGTCTCGTCAACGGTGTGAGAGAAGGAGGCGTCGTCGAACTGTAGCTCGGGCAGGTCGCGCAGCAGCTTGTCCACGGTGAGTTCGACCAGACCGCGGCAGAACTCCAGGCGGGGTCGACAGTCGGGAAGGGTCTGCAGCGAGGAAAAGACAGCTTTAGACACCTTTTGTCGGATTTTGCAGTTCAGGGATAGCGAGCAATACGATGCAATGTTTTCTAGATGAGGAACAAATAAATGTACGCGTTACTGGATAAACAATGAAGAATAAATGGATGAATGGATGAAATAAATATAAATGGAAGAATATAAGGACATGGACGAATAGACCGATAAATGAGTAACACATGGATGAATGGATGAATGAATGACATCACAACAAAGGAGGTGAATCCCAGCAGCCGACTGACCTTTGCCAGTGTCGGCTCGACGCTGGTCTCCAGGAACTGTTCGTGGTCAGTGATCCACTGCAGCACCTGGCCCATGTACCACTCGGGTCGCGCCAGGTCGTTGGTGCGCTTCTGCCCCTGGAAGTGGTACACAAACCGCCGCACCAGCGGGCGCAGCAGCAGTCGGACGGGCAGACTGGCCGGCGGGAAGGCGGCCAGAACTGACGGCCGGGAGGGCGCCGGTTCCTCACCGCAGCCGGCCAGTGCAGCCAGCCGCGCCAGCGCCGTCTCCAGGTGGAGCTGCGCCTCCGGCCCGGGCGGCGCTGCGTGCACGGCCATGTTGGTGCTGATGAAGGGGTAGCGCAGCTCGGCGAGTGCCGCGTCCAGCTGGCCGGTGAGCCGGCGCAGCAGCAGGCCGCGCCAGGCTGACACCAGGCCGCGGCAGTACTCGGCCAGCGCGTGGCACCGAGACTCGCCCACCACGCCGCTAGTGGCCTCGTGCAGCTCGCGAAGACGCGCCAGCGCCTCGTCCAGATGGCCGGCCGACACGCGCTCGCGCACAGCGTCGCTGAGCTGCGTGAGTCGGCGCAGCAGCGCGCGGTAGCTGCGCTCCTTGAGCCGCAGCTCCTCGGCGGCCAGGGGCGGCGCCAGCGCGGCGCACAGCTCACTGTTGGCTGACACGAATGTATCGCACTGGGCGCGCAGCGGCTCCACAGTCTTCTGCAGTGAGTCGATCTGTGCAGTGGCCGACTGGGCGCGGGTCAGCAGCTGTGACAGCGCAGAGTCTGAGCTCTTGTTGCTGATGGCCAGGTCACGCTCCAGCTCGTCTTTGCGAGCCAAGAGCTGCCCGCGAATAGTTTCCAGGTGGTCAATGTCATCCCCCTTACTGCCAAACAGCTGGTTTGCCTTCTTCAGCATGGCACTGCTGAACTTGGTATCCATGCTGCTTGACTTGTCCAAATGCATAGTGTCTTCCATCACAAATCTGTTGTTAACAGGGTATATGAACAATGTGCATTTCATTAGGCTTTTGATTATTGAATTGTTTGTGGCCTGTGGGCCATTCTTGATATCTACAAATAGGTAACTTATAATTATATTGATAATTTAAGACAAAATAAGATCCTGTTTCAAGAGCTACAAGTCCTCTCAATTTCAACAAACTGCATTTGTCAGCATGTGTGATGTTTCCATTGAAAGTGAAACTGAGGGGTGCTGGGTGAGAGCTCAACCAAGTAATACCTAATTATCATAATAGCAGCTGCTAGTAAATTGTACCATTTGTGTGCCATGAAACTGGGCCATGTTTTCTTGGCCTTGTTCTGAGTTGTTCCTGAATAAAACCCAATGAAACTTTAGAAGAAAGCTCCAGTCATAAGCCATAGACCTTAACTTAGACTTTGATCAAGACTTGGGGCCTGGGGGTGGAGCAAATTATTATCATCAAGGATGGATAGTGAACTCTTTTGGGCCTAGGGTGCAAAAGGGCAATTTCACCAAACTCTTGGAATCAGCTATCAGGAAAAAAAAAAACATTAGCAGTCAGTCAAAATATTGACGTATTAGCGCATAACTATGACAATGAGCACCAATTAGATCAGGATTTCAAGGATCGGTCACAGACTACTGACGCCCAAGCAAATCATATGAAATGCAAGGCCCTATATATACCATGATATGGTTATCAAACCACCCAATCTGATTCAAAATCCCAAGCTTGTTTGAATTCAAAGCCCAATGAAGCACATTGTGTTGACGTGTTGACTGTTGTTCCTAATATTCTGGTGCTATGTTGCAAGGAGATTAAACAATGACATGTAGCAACGAGCTAACCAAGGCCATATAACCGAGCTTGAGCTAACGACATCAACCTCACTCAACCTCAACGACGTGACCTACGTTACACCCAAGGTATACGTTACACCTATACATAGGTGAAAATCTCACAACATGCCAAGAAACGGTAGGTAAAGCCGATAGTATTCGAAAAAAATATGCACGGGGTAAAACGTACCAAAAACGTACGACTTTTTTATAAAATTTTAAGCACTTCTTCTTCTTCTTCTTCGAGGATTAGGGCGCGTAAAATTTTAAGCACGGGAAACACGCAAAAAAAAAATGAAAACGCGCAGAAATTCCATTGCGCCATTTACGAATCATCAGCGCCATTTCAATGCTGTTCATATTTTGTATAAATCGCTTTATACAGCCAATCGTCATGACAACAATCAACTTACTTTATTTTTATTTGTTGATGGCTGCTAAAAGGTCCGGAAATTGATAAAACGAATATAAATGGGTATTTTCTAATGTGTTCGTCGTATAGCAGCCCGAGTGCATTCTGTATGTTTTTGTTTTGTCAAAAGACTGTGAGGTGTAGGGCCGGCCTCTCATTTCTTAATTCGTCTTCATCCTATTCAAGCGGAAAGATGTATTATAGTCGAGGACGGTGAAGGTTGAGGTTTGTTAGTTTGGACGTTTTTTTTAATACTTACAAAGAAGAAATTCAAATTTAAAATAAAATTGAACTATAAAAAGTGTAAATTTGAATGCTTTCTAGGACCCCTTGCTCATCAGGTACCAATTATCTTTTAAATCATGTGAAGTATCCTACCCTACCAGTCTCTTCGCTATTTGTACATTTATGGGGCTTAAAATAGTTAAAAAATTTTGGTTGAATGTTTGAATGAATTGGAATGGATGAACGGAGCCAGAGCTCATGCTAAACCTTGCTAGCATAGGCCCTGACCAGTAACCCATACTGTTGAATTGCTCTATCCCGGATATGGAGAGAATTTTGGTGCCAAAATGTAATGTGGCCATCAGGCTTCAAAGCTTAACACAGTGCCGTCATTCTTAATTTACTTAAACTGGCTCGGACCTCTTCCAGGATTCCACCAACTACCAACCGTCCCCGTCAGTAGTTTCATAGGTATATCAGTGTATACCATGTCGGTCATCATGTCTACCATCATGACTATTGACTATGGTACCTCTTCAGTGGAGAAGTTCTACAGGCGGTGAAAGAAGAAAAGGACCTAAGGGTGATCTGAAGTTTGGGAGGCAAGCAGCAACAGCAGTCAACAAGGCATCTTGGGTAATGGTCATGATAAGAATTAAGATGGCCATTCAGCCTGCTGGACAACACGGCCCTGCCAATCTGGTTCAAGGCGCTAATGTGAGAGCCCCTGGACTTGGAGCAAAGCAATATTGTGTGGGACCCTTTTGAAGTTGAACTGGGTAGATCAGCTTCTCATCGAAGTAGTCCAAGGCTGAGCGACTAAGCTGGTTCAGGAAATATGCCACCTACTGAAAAAGATAGACCCAAAAGCTATCTTTCTTCCACTACCGATGTTGGCGCGGTAACATGTTTTCTTTTTTCAATGTGCTGCATGGGAGACGAACTGAATCCGGAGGAGTTTTTTAACCGGATTACGACAAGAGATACAAGGGGGCACTCCTGGCGTCTTGTGAAGCCTAATGCCGTCACCCGCGTCCGTCAAAACGCGTTCTCAGCCAGAGACATCAATGACTGGAACGGCCTACCACCATCCGTCGTAGGCGCTGACTCTCAACGCATTCAAGAATCGACTCGCCTTCCATTGGAGACACCTCCACTTCACCCGCCCCTACCATACGATCAGTAACACTGTCAATCACGAACTCGACTGGAGCGGACACTACAGGCCTTTGGCCTCTCTAGTTGTCCGTGCATCTTAAGTAAGCGCATGGGTGACTCAAAGCCTGATACATACCCTGGTTGTTTTTGTTTCAGATCCTCTGCTGTACTGTACATGCTCGCAAGAGATGCAGAATGCGAACAAAAACATTTCTGATAACCATGACAGTGTTGGTCACTGCTTTGGTTATCCTTCAAATAATTCACTCTGTTCTCCTTGACCAGCTAGACGAATATGAACATGATCCCAGTCACGTCATCCAGAATATTGATGACGTCAACGTATATGCGGTGGTAAGTGTTATTTTTTGAAAATGTGTGCATTTTAATTGCCGTTTGTTAAATGGTTTTCTTCGGTCCAGGCTCCAAAAAAAGCGAAATAGCTACCGTAATTGCAGTTGAATCATATATGTACTTCTAGCATTCCCCAAAAAGAAGAGATGGGTGCTCATTCAACGCATTGTTTATGAGATATCCCACTAGGTTGAGATGATTTGACCTTGTGCTTTGACCATAGGCTATTTTCTTCTTGTCCTCAGGAGGCTGAGCGACTTCTCTCTCAGCTTCTCGAAACTGTTCGAGATAAAGCTACGGTAGATGATTCCGGCCAATATCAAATCGTTCAAAATGTTATCAGCAACGTAAAGGACACACGGCAAGAGGTGTCATTGGCCTTGCATGCCTCTGTAGAGAGCTTGAATCATCTGCCTACCACCATACGTGATTGGGAGGTAAGCATATTTTGTTGCTATTTTGTGTTTTTCATGATTATAAGCAAATGCATCAGTGATGCTTAGTATCGGCAGAACCGGGAAGATCACATTGTCATTAACTCATGGCCCTAAAAACCACGAGCTTATGATTTGATGGCATGAGAAGGTCTAGGCCGATACGATAGCTAGATCTGTCCTATGAAGTAAAACCTCGGGTAATTGTTTTGGTTTGATCATTTTTCGACCTCACTGAGAGGTAATGATGCGTATCGTTGGGGAGCAAGGCAATCCAGCCTTATCCAGCCTGCACTTTGATGTGTTTCGTCAGATTTCACTTCAGTATGATAATGTTTGATTTATTCGTTTGGTTCACTGGGTTGTTATTCTAATGTCAAGCATCCAGGCCTGAATTTGACTACCTACCTCCAATGCCGGCGCCCCCGCAGGGGCCGGTGTCGGTTTCGATGTTCGTTTCGGCGAGCATGGCCGACCAGGCGGCTCTGCGTCTACTGGCACTCCACCTCTGCTCTGGGTGTACTCTGTCCCTCCACCTGGTTCTACCGGTGGGTGTGCGGATCAGTCGCCCCGTGGTACCACACCAGAGCGCGCTTTGCCGGACGCTAGAGTCGTCACCGTCAGTTAGCTACCAACTCTCGGAGCCGTATCCCAACAACCTGCTGCGTAATGTGGCTCGAAATGCCACGCATACGGAGTTTGTGCTCTCATTGGACGCCGACATTACGCCTAACGTGGGATTTCGACAGCAGTTTTTAGCGATGGCGAATCGGAACAATCTATGGGGTGATTCGGCCGACCTGACGGCATTTGTGCTGCCTTTATACGAAGTCGGGGAGGGTGTTACGCCACCACGGGATAAAACTACTCTCCTGGAGCTGCGTCGGCGTTGGCCGCAACTGCTGCGTCCTTTCTACATAACCCTGTGCGCGAAATGCCAGGCTCCGACCGATTTCGAACGGTGGGAGACGATGGGAGTATCCGGTCGTTTGGAGGTGGCCTATGATGTCCCATGGAAGGACCCATGGGAGCCGGTGTATGTGATACGTCGTGGCGCGCCTCTGTACGATCCACGTTTCAAACAGTTTGGGTTTAATCGCATCAGTCATGCGTGCGAGCTTCATGTGGCCGGATACAGGTTCCGGGTGCTGGGTGACGCTTTTGTTCTCCATCACGGCCTGAAGGGAGAGGAGCCTCCGAGGGCAGCGCAGAGCTCGGAGCAGCACAGCAATCGGCTGCTGTTCCGTCAGTTTAAACAGGAGCTGAAGGTGAAATATCCAAAGTCGGCTCGGAGGTGTTACTAGTCACGAGCGAGAGAGACCTCAGGTACTGCCTCATAGAAATCTATGGCCTTATTCGATCTGATGTTCTGTGATATTTGTCATGGAGCCTGAAGTAGTCCGGGCTCTCGAAGTGTGTTGATCTGTAGGGCTTTATTACCGACTTATCGTGTGAATTTTCACTCACCTTTGCTACTAAGTGATTCATACATACTCTGTAGTCTTTTACTTTGTAATTTTGATCATCGTTATACTAATCCATCGAAGCGTGTGTACGTTAGTAAGCAAGCATTGTATCCAACATGCGTCTGAGCGTGAATACATTTCCATGTTTTTTTTTTTTATCTGGTGCGTTCTTTAGGCTGGTCAGCTCAGAAACGCCTTCTATCTGAAAGGTAGTTAATGGCTTGCTCGGCTGTCGTTTGTATTGAGGTCCGGTCAGACCTCTTCTATTTTTATCTATATGACAGTCGTGTAACAGTGGGCTGTTTTCCACGAAAGTTGCCATAGTTTTAGCAATTGCTTGTTTACGTGTCAATTGAAATAATCACCCCAATGACTTGTAATCTCTTTTGGAAGAGCTCAGTCTTCATTCCACAATTGATATTGACTTGCTCCGTTTTTTTTTTTTCCTGTCGCATAATAGCTCAGTCGAAGGCCAAACAGATGGGAGCTGAAGCCTTTGGTTTGCAGACACTCTCATTTCTCAGTTTTGCTCGTTGGACGCCGAAAAGCCTTGCATGGTCACTGGATAACTCACAATAAGATCCTTTGGTGTATGAATCGCTAAGCTCGTAAAAATGTGTATTTCTTTTTTGATTTTTGATTTGGTCGTTGGAGAGGTTAACTCACAAGATGTGATATTTCTGTCATTGGATTGACGAGTTCATAGTCAGGACAAGAGGATAGTATATTAGTTCGTTTAATAACTTAGTTCATGAATATGTAGATATGTTTCGGTCCAGCAGTTGTTCCGTTTATTTCCCGGAGACCGTCTGCCCGTGTCATGGACTGACAGATATCCACGGACTCCACCGCATCGGGCTAGCTTCCCGACCTCATTCGGTGCATACCATCACTGCTGCGCACATTGGCATCGCAATTATTGTCAGTTGGTCTAGCTATTCAATTGCACTGGCAGGGAGGTGAATCGCCGAATGTCATTTCACCAAACGCCCGTTTGGCTGTGAACCATATTGTATTGATCCGTTGTATAGTGGTGGTGACGTAAAGAGACGGTAATCGGTAGCCTGTTCGCAGTTGATCTATCACGCTTGTGTGCTGGCGATACCGAATTTCAATACTTTGTGCTCTTCGTATAATCGAAGAGTAAGCATATGAACTCTTAAAAGGAGCACTCGTAAAGTCGTAATTGCCATCATTTCAGAATACGGATATTTTCACTCAACAGTTCTATGCATATTTGAATAGCAGAGTATGTATAAACCAGTATAGTATAGCGCCTTTTGGGGCGACTAACGGAGCGAGCGAGGGGGTGAGTCTTGCACGTGCGAAATTTCGAGGGGGTACCTCCAACTGACTTGTGCACGGCACCCTACTGACCGGTTTCTAGCGATGTGCCAAATTTGAGCACAATCGGCCCAGCCGTTTTCGAGATCTGGGAGCGGCACCCTGCACGTGCGCACGTGCAAAATGGGTCCCAACTGACTTGTGCACGGCACCCTACTAACTGGTCCCTAACCGTGTACCAAATTTGAGCGCCATCGGTCCAGCCGTTCTCGAGATCTGGAAACGACCCCTGCACGTGCGCACGTGCAGCAGCACCCCAACTCTGGCACATGGATATGCAGTGCCTAGTGGGTGCCTACCTACATGCCAACTTTCAGCGCAATCGGCCAAGTAGTTACCGAGATATTGCAACAATTACAAAACTGACGCCTCTTCGTTTTGCAAGTGGCACGTGCATAAGGGGTCACCCATATGCATCGGGAATAGTCCAATACTTGGTAGAAGGAATGAAGCTACCCTACAAAAATTACCGCGTGTAAATCGGTCAAGTGGTTGCTGAGATATAAGCCTCGCAAAAGCGTCCGCACGGCCGGCCGGCCGGCCGCTCATACTCAGAAATTTCTGCTAATCTAAGGAAAGACTACGCTCGCTTCGCTCGCTCCGTAACAACTAGGGTAAATTCTATCGGTCCCTAACGGTTTTCGGTCCCTAGCCGATTATAGTGATCACTCATTAGCTGATATTTATTATTGAAGTGTCCATTTCGTGGGACTGGAACCCTGGTGCTCGTGTGACGGGCCATTCAGAACCCACATTTCTAAGGAGCAGCTCATGTAAGGGGCGGGTCGGCGCAGCCGGTGTTGTAATCCCAGTCGCAGTTGGAGATGGCTGAGTTGTAGCTGAGGGGCGCCGCGCAGTCAAACACCACCGGACAGCCGTTCGAACACTTGTAGAACTGGCGGCAGTTGTCCTCCTTGGCGAAGTGGTACTGAGTGGTGTCCGTCGGGCACACGACTGAAAACGACAGGAGGTGTGATAAGGCGAGAGTTGAGCGGTGAGCGTTTGCACGGGTGGCTATCGAATGCAAGATTACTAGGACATATGCACTACTGTATGCACAATACAGCCGCCAGAATTCAGGCCTTATAAGTTGAATGTTTCAAGCATTTTAATTCGCGCCTACGAGTTGTTTGGTGCCTCGCATACCTAAAACAAATCTTACATTTTCTTCCGAAGCCGCTAAAGGCGCTGGCTCACGATCTCGTTTGTCAGTGAACTACCGACAGTATAGAACCCTCGCAGTTAATCGCTTGTCTATGAAACAAACTACCTAAACACTACGAGGATCTAACGCGATCGCTGGTAAGCACGCTGATGATCTACATTGAACTCCGAGTGTTTGTTCTCAGTACTCACATGAAGTTACGGCGCATTGGGAGCTTGACGCCCCCGTTGTTGCTGGTGCTGGAGTTGTCGTTGGTTCTGGCGTTGTCGTTGGTGCTACAGTGGTCGTCAGTGTCGCTGTAGTTGACGCCTCCGTTGTGGTCGGTGCTGCCGGTGATGCAGCTGTTGTGGTTGTTGTTAGTGCTGCTGTTGTTAATGCTGTTGTCGATGATGTTGTTGGCTCCGGTGTTGTCGTTGTGGGCTGCTCAGTTGTGGTGCATCTGGAAACGGTCGTCACGCTCGTAATATTTCACCACATAATCCGAATGCGTCAGTGTGGCCGTTCTAAAGCACACAGATAGCGAAACCTTCGTAAGGTTTTAATGAGTGATCTAAGCTTTTTCATCAATTTTTATATTGCTTCTAAGTTCTAACATAGATAACATGAATCATGTTATCTATGCTTCTAACAATGATTGTCTATAAAAGTGCTCGATCTAGGGAAAATGGAGACACAGTAACCCCTCGCCGTGTACCCAACACCCATACAACATATCCCGCGCCCTGGTGGGGTCTGTTTATAACGCGACCTGGTGGGGGGGGGGGCTATTTTTTGCCCCCCCCTCGTGTCTCCGAAACTACTGGACGGGTCCGCAAAATTCAAACGGCGTTCGAAAGGCCTGTCAAATTTGTCGAAGGAAACCAAATTTCATTGACCTTGGGGTCACCGATGACGTCACAGCTCAGGTCAAAGATGAAATGTTTCACCGTTCACGGGTCATCTAGGGAATGCGCTATAACACCGAAGAAAACGCATTTCGTCGAGAATCAGCGATAGGGCGTCAGTTGCCTAGTACATATGTTGCTATAAGAGGTCACTGACATTACCAGGTCAGGTCACAGGTCAGGTCACCAAGGGTCACAGGTCAGGTCACATGAACCTAACTTTAGGTACTAAGGTTGTGCGATGCATGTTGTATGGCCAATTTTTCATTTCCAACTCAATGGTGTTGGTTATAACTTAAAAGACTATCAGGTACGGCTTGGGTCACTTTCTGGTGAAGGTCAGGTCAAGTTCAGGTCAAAAAGGGTCAAATTTTAAAGTTGATAGTTTTGCATAAAATGGGTATTTCTAACTAACTAACTAAGACGTCATTTCCTGCCAACCTATCATAGCCTTTGGAAAAAAATTTTGGTCACAATGTGTAAAATTGATGTCCGGGAGGGTACTGAAAGTTTGGTGACGATCGGCGCAACGGTTCTGGAGATATATCGAAAAGTCTGGAGGGGGGCAAAAATAGCCCCCCCCCCCACCAGGGCGCGGGTTAAAGGTCAACTTTCAGTTCATTTGAAGCGTCTTTCCGAGAGAAACCTGATGGCGGTAAAAACAAATATCATGCATTGCTATGTAGAAACATTGTTTCTGCATGTGTCTAATTTGGCAGTTTTCGTCCTCCGTGAGTCAAACCGTTGCCCTGCGGTCAATCTGAGGCCAAGTCTGCACTCTGCAAAAGTTCTTTGAAAGGGCTATCGAACTAGCTTTTCTAACTTTTCTAACGAACTAACTTAACTTTTGTTAAATGTGCTTTTCCGCGATGCTTTGGGTACTTCGTTCACGACTTATGCGCTGGTTCATGAAAAATGTCAAAATCGGAAAATTTAACCAGCAAACCGTACCTATCTAATCCCTAATGAGCTTAATAATGACCGGAATAAATAAATTACCTTAATACTTCCGAAACAACTTATAGCAAGCTCTATTAACCCTCGCCATTGCAGGGCATTTTTCATAACGCGGCCTGTCAGTGGGAGGTCGATGCGACCCCCCGCCCCTCCCTCGCGATTGGCGCCTATGGCACTTAGAAGCACCAAATTTGGTGGGTAGGTGGACTTAGCACATCCTGAAAGTTTGAAGGAAATTAGTCCAAAACTGTGAGCTGGACAAGTGCATAAACAAAATTGAAATTTGACTATGATTTTGTACCGGTTTTCTGACCTGGTGACCCGACCAGCCGTACCAGCCGTCAGCCGTACCTGAAATTTTTAGGTCATATGTAAAAAGGTAGGTATGTCAAAAGCATAAGCTGTGCCAAAGTTGGCGGCGCTACGCGCCGCCGTTTTTACTCTATCTTTGAAAACCTTAGGGGGGGAGGTCGCATTGACCCCCCTGCCAGGGCGATGGTTAACGTTTTTTTCCCGCGTCTTTTATCTTTTTTTAGTTTCTTAGATAAGTGATTGTAGCCAATGATGCTCCTCCCTACAATGGCGAAGTTGACTGAGACGAGACCATAACTGAGACGTACGTACTTACATGCGGGCACGGGATAAAAGAAAAATACGAGCCATACGAATTGTTGGCTACGCTACGATACCCTATAATGCAACGCATTGAGCTTCAATCCTCGAGTAGGCCGGTTATATGATAGGATCGCATTTTCTTTGCTCGCTCAACTTGACCTAGCGACCTGATCTTAGATGAGTTGGGGCTTCATTTTTCACTCAGGAGTCAGGATGCAAAATTGATGCATGATATGATATGACAAGTTTTGCGAAGCTATGCGCCGCAGTTTTCTCGACACACGTAAAAGACTGGGTGTGACCGAACATGATGTGACCGAAAATGTCACTGTTCCGTATAAATTTGTCAAGAATTTTCCGCTCGTAATCAAAATGTCTGCTGTGCTGTGATCCCTTGACTTTTGATCTGATTTGTCTCCCAATTTGCTGTCCGACTGAGTTCAGACGCGTGCTTCGTTTGCCTACGTTCTTCCCGTCCTTTTCGTCCAGCCGCGCTCAGCAACCCGAGCCATGTGGGACCATGTGTGGGCTACAATCCATAGGTCACCGTCCTGGGCCGACGCGACGGCCGCGTCCAAACCCGATCAGTTTTTCACTATTATCACCAGGAAGAGGACCCGACAATCCTCTTTCTGGCACGAGCGAATATAGCGTCAGCCGACAACGAGACTGTCCGTCCACTTCCACAGGGAATCGCAAAACCGATATCGAATCGAATTGCAACAATCACCTTTTCTTCGCTGTCACCATCGGACCTGGAGCGAGAGGAGATCTCGTTTGAAATAAATGCCTTCTTGGTTGAGCAAAACAAAACCGTCCTAGAATGAACGAAATGCGTAATTCAAATTAACGGGAGCATCAAACGAGCTAGTTTTCGCCAATGGCATGTGTCCCGTTAGGGCACCGCACCTTGTTTACATAGTTGCTCGCTGCTGCAATCGCTTTGAAATAGCATGACTCACTGCACCCAAACTGACAATCGTCTCAGCTTGGGTGAGTGGACTTAGTGAAGCTGGTCGAGTATGCTGGTGCCGGCTGGTCACGGCAGCTTTCGAGCACGTGAGTTAGCCGGCTGAGTCAGCTGGTCGCTGGGGTCGTCGTCCCTCCGTGGGACAATCGACCGACGAGTCGACCCCGTCTACCGCCGGTGAGTCAGGGCGGGCCCGGCGGCTGGACACTCACCCGGCGGCGGCGCTGGTCAGCACACAGGTCGCCAGCCACACACGGACGGCCTGGCTCCCCGCTCCACGCATTGCCGCGGCACTACTGAGCTGAGCGGTCTGCGCCGCCGGCTGCTGACCGGCCGGCCGTGCCCGCCGGCGGCGTACAAAGGGGCAGCCGCACCACCAGTATCGACCGCGCTGGCCGGCACGTGCCGCGCGCCCGGCTCTGCGAGGGGCGCATAGCCGCGCCCCGCGCAGCAGAGGCACGCGCCATCTGGCGGTCCCGCGGTCCGAAACATCCGAGCATCTCATCAACGCGGCAGTTCCACATCCGAGGAGGTGAAGGGGAGGGGCAGCACCGTTCCGTGCTTCTATCCTCAGGATACAGAAATCCTTCTCCTCCACGCCGCAACCCCCTCCGGGCTGGACAGGCAACTTTATCTCATGCGGGTTTGCTCCCTTGAAGCGGCACCGCTGCTCCCGAGGGAGCGCACCCCGTAGCCGGGTGCAGTGAGTACCTTGGGGCTGGGTGGCCTGTCCTCTGGACGGGCTCAGCCCCGGCGACTCACTAGGGTGCCTGCTCAGACCAATATCTCCCCCTATATCCTATCATCCTCCCGGCTCTGAAATGGTCTAATTGGACCGAAAGGGCCTAACCCAACAAAACAAACAAACAAACAAACAAACAAACAGAAGGGGGCAGCGGAAACGGCGCCCGCGGGCGGCTGCCGGGGAGGGTGCCGGTTGAGCTCGGTGGGAGTCGGATGTCTCGTGTTTTCAAAGTGATGCAAATGTGAAAAAAGTGTCGGGGGTCAGCGTGCACTGCATAAACACTTCGCCTTTTGCACATTCCTGTGCATTGCTACTGTTTTTTGTTTGTTTTTTGTTTTTTTGTATGCTTGTTTCTTTCTAGCCTTTGGTGCAAATGAGCGCAAGCCGCAAAGCGTAAACCGAAATCTTCGTAATACGCAGATGATAAATCTGAACATCAGTGCAGTGGACCGTGGTCACATTTTCGAAAGGCTTATCTTATGTTATCTTATCATCCGCTGTGCGGCCGATTAACTTGTGATGTCGTCCGTGGTTTCGTCCCTTCTACCAAGCATAGTACCTAGGTACTATTCTCGATGCCTTTGGGTGACCACCGCACGTGTCCGGTATCACGTGCAAAATAAAAATGTGCTAGTTTCTTCTAATAAAATTGATTCAGCAATTACTGGAGTGGTTGCGCTGAAGCTTGGCATATCACCTATCGGTAGGCACCCACTGGGCATTGCATTTCCATGCATCTTGGTGGGGTGCTATTGCACGTGCGCACGTGCAATGGTCGCCTTCACATATCGAGCACGGCTGGGATATGATAGCGCTCAAATTCAGAACACCACCGTTTGGAGCCATTTTATAGTGGGGTAACACGCACGAATCGTTTCTCACTTTAAACACGTGCGGCATAGGCGGCGGAACGGAGGGAGCAACGGGGCACCGTGCCCCCTTGATTTTGCCATTTTAACATTATTCCTATGGGCATTGCATGGAAAGAATGGGACCAAAAGTCGGCGGTACCCCCCCCCCCCCCCTCCTTAACCCGGCAGGCGGTGGGCCTCCCGGCCACCTTCCACGCGGTGGGGGGGCATTTTTTGCCCCTCCCGTATCTCCGAAACTACTGGACGGATCCGGAAAATTCAAACGGCGTTCGATAGCTCTGTCAAATTTGTCGAGGAAAACCATATTTCATTGACCTCGGGGTCACCGATGACGTCACAGGTCAGGTCAAAGATAAAATGTTTCACCGTTCACGGGTCTTCTAGGGAAAGCGCTATAACACCGAGGAAAACGCATTTTGTCGAAAATCAGCGCTAGGGCGTCAGTTGTCTAGTACATATGTTTCTATTAGAGGTCACTGGTCATACCATGTCAGGTCACAGGTCAGGTCACCAAGGGTCACCAAGGGTCACCACATGAACCCAACTTTACTAAGGTTGTGCGATGCATGTTTTATGGCCAATTTTTCATTTCCAACTCAATGGTGTTGGTTATAAGACCATCAGGTACAGTTTAGGTCACTTTCTGGTGGAGGTCAGGTCAAAAAAGGTCAAATTTCAAAGTTGACAGTTTTGCATAAAATGGGTATTGATTCGATGCAGCTCGTCACGGGGAGTCTAATGGTGGTCTTTGTTTTGCGATACGAGGTCTAAAATTGCTAAAAAAAAAAGAGTTTAAAATTTGACGTCATCAATTTTGAACAGTTTTTGCGCTGTAACTTGGCCAAAAAAGAGGTATCGATCTCAAATTTGGTATGTAGATAGAAGGCGGTAAAGACTATCACATATATTCCGTTTTTTCGAAATTCAAATTTTTTTTTGGATTTTTCGGCTATTTTATTTTTAAAAAAATCTATTTTTTGATTTTTCGGGGTCAAGATCCAAAACTTTCAAAAATCCGAGATAGCAGTTCTGTAGCCCTGTCAATTCTACAGCTTTTATGTCTTAATCGTTTTTCAGTATTTGCAAAGCTATAGGCCTGACAGCTCTTGCCGCGAAACCCTTTTTTGGGTCGAAAACGGCAGAACATGACGTCACTCTGACGTCATTTCCGGCCAACCTATCATAGCCTTTGGAAAAAATTTTGGTCACAATGTGTAAAATTGATGTCCGGGAGGGTACTGAAAGTTTGGTGACGATCGGCGCAGCGGTTCTGGAGATATATCGAAAAGTCTGGAGGGGGGGGGGGGCAAAAAATAACCCTCCCCACCAGGGCGCGGGATATAATAACACTGCGACAGTTCCCTCACTGTGAATAATCGTAGTAGCAGCTGCCTTTATCTTGATCATATGCCAGCGATCCGGAGCAGTTGCCTGAGGTGGAAGGATTGGTCGAGCTACACTGCTGGGAACACATTCCTGAAACGCAGGGCGGGTGTCTCACAGACGTATGACGCAGTATTCAAAAGCTGTACGCTGCACTTTATGTAAACGAGTTAACGAGGGCTGCGCTATAGCGAACATGAGCTAGCAGCTAGTTACTTCAATTTAGGTATGTATGAATAATTGAATTGATCGAACTCTCTTCATATAATTAGGATTGCACTAGAAGTCGAAGTAGAAAACATTGAATCCCTCAATTTATTATTATTTTTTCTGGTGGCAAACACATTGGGATAAATCGAAACGACCACTGCGTGGTCAAACAATTACAAGCAAAGAAACCTATCAATGATAAAAGAACAGGAAGTAAACAATTATTTATTAGTTGATACGTGCCTAACCGGTAATTCTTACGCATTGTGCTGGTCATTACTCATTTAAACCCATGAGCCACACTTTAAGGGCTATGCAATGCTCTGACCTATAAGGGCACTGCTGAAGTTAAATAAGCATGAAGTAGACGGAAGTGGATATTTTACCTGACTTGTTTTTATCGGCCTATTATACCTAACAGTTTTTCATTATCTTTATCATTTGCTGTTCGCTACCTTATGTATTTTTGTGGCATTTGCATAGCGATTATGATCCTTGGGTTGCAGCAAATTGTGTTTGAACAATGAATAAAGGGAAAGCACTATAACTTGCAATCTGGCGGCCTGTCAGCCTGGTGGACAAACGCAGTGACGGTTTAATGAGTGTGTATGTGTGGTCCAAAATGAAAAGAATGTTGCCAGGGCACCAGCACAAGCTGGCGGCTGCTGGTTAATGTACGGGCCAGTCTACAGGCTACGCACCGACGATATTCCGTGTAAGTCTGACGTATGCTGTCACAAGTAACTACAGCTCTATATGGATCAGCCATCAACATGGGCGGCACCACCGATTTTGAGTAGCGAGTACCACGGACCTGAGAAAGTGAAGCATTACCGTCGCCATAGGGGGTGGACATGTGGGGCAGCTTGCCTCCCCCTCCCCCACCTCCACCCCGGTACCCCCTGAGATCGATACAGATCCGATGAGATTTTGGGGTCGTGAAAAAAATGGGACTGTTTTTTCTTAGAATGGATGTGAAGTCGGGTTCGGTCAGAGTCGACAGTTCTAGTCAGAGTTGGAGTCGCAGACGTCAAAATTTTATTAAAGGCCTAGAGATAACGGCCTCTCAAAAGCGCTACTGCAGCGTAACAACTTAATCAGTAATCACTCTTTACTTTTCACGTGGCACGTTTCACGACGGTCGGGTCACCTCGTTGCATCAAGAGTAGTCAATTACTGGGTAGAAGGGATATGGGTCTACCCAACAACAGACCGTAGGTCAATCGGTCCAGCGGTTGCTGAGATATAAGCCTTTCAAAAACGTTGCAGGCCGGGCTGTGTCGGGCCGCTCATACTTATATTTTTCCCTTTATATCGAGAATGACTCGCTTCGCGCTCGCTCGTAATAACTATTGAATTGGCCTCAACGATAGTGGGTAGTACGCCGCTAACTTTTGATAGTGGAGGTGCGGTCCCCCCCCCCTCCCTAGTCCCCGCGGTGGCACCGCCCATGGTCATGTTTTTATATAGCTACCACATGCCTCAGCCATCGAAAACGATTACCGAGTACATTACCAATCATTTGCATCCTATTGAACCCAACTCAGTGCCTAGCATTTTGTGCTGCATGCAGACATTGAAGCTGTGATTTGAGCTCACTGAATTGCTGCAACATTTTGCTTCACAATGCGTGGCGCAAGACATGTATGTACGCCCGTAAAATCCCCAGCAGCCGTTCCTATTGTCCGGCCAGTAAACGCTGACAGTAACAGTTAACACTGCCCCATGCACGCCACTTTAGTGTTTTGGTGCCCACTGCCCATCATTTCTAAAATATTTACTCAGTTGTGGTCTTGAGCGCTTATTTATCATTGAACTTCGCTTGCATGGATCGTTTTGCGCCGGCATGCCTCGTCAGTAGCAGCTCCTGCCCTTCCTGTCGCTAGATGGCACTAGCGGTTAGCGCCTGGAACGTAGACTGTGCCGCACGGTTTGAACCGATCCAAGCTTTTTTAGGGAATACAACAATAATAGACTGAAAGGAGAAGTGAGCGTGGGAGAGAAAGAGAGAGAGGGAAGAAAAAGAGAGCAGCGGCAGCGCGTGGGCGAATGGAATGGTTTACCCCGAATAGACCTCCGTTGCCCAACTGGGTGCTCGGTAGTGACCAGTGTTTTGTGACAGAACTTCCTTCATTCCAATTAGATATTGCATAGACCTCTACATATACCTATGTAGAGGTCTATGGATATTGCTTAGAAAATCGTTC